AGCAGGGAGCCCGATGCGGGACTTGATCCCAGGACCCTGGGATCATGACCTGAGCTGAAGGCAGTCGCTTAACCAACTGAGCCACCCAGGCGCCCAACTCAACAACTTTTGATAAGCAATTGCTTCATGCCAGGCATTGTACCAGGCACTGGGGATTTAAACATGAACATTAAATGTTCTCCTCTCTTAAAAAAGTCACAGTCTAGTGAGAGGGATCAACTTCTAAATAGGCTAGTGCACAGCAGTGACAGCTGGCCAGGCAGGTGTAATGAGAGGATATTATGGGAGCATAAGAAAGGAATGACTAATTCATATTCTTTTTTTAAAAATTTATTTATTTATTTTTAGAGAGAAAGAGAGAGCACAAGCAGGGTGGGGGCAAAAGGAGAGGGAGAGAGAGAAACTTAAGCAGGCTCCACACCCAGCACAGAGCCCGACACTGGGCTCGATCTCACCCCCCCTGAGATCATGACCTGAGCCAATATCACGAGTCAGACGCTTTACCGACTGAGCCACCCGGGCACTCCTAACTAAATCATATTCTAAGGGGAAAGAGGTCATGGAAGGTTTCCAGAAAAAGCTGTACCTTCAGTGAGCAATAACAAATAAGAGTTTGGATGGATGGACCTTGGGAGATGGAAGAAAAACTAGGAGAAGGACCATGGGGGTGGATAAAAAGAGTATGTTAGGAGGGGACATGTAGGAAGAAGTTCAAGAAAATTATTTAAGGGAAAGAGGACAACATAAAAGGGGAGGCTGGAGAGGTGAACGGAGGCCTCGCATGTCAGAAAGGCTTTGGACTTCATCTTGGGGGCTAGAGAAGCCACTTACAGGTTTTAAGAATAATGCTATCAGATCTGGATTTCAGAGCATTATTCTGCCTACAGTGAAGAATGCAGTGGGAGGGAGAAGACTGAAGCAAGGAGGTCATTAATAAGCGATGATCATGAAGCGACGATGATGGCTTGAACCTGAGTTTATCCATGGTGATTGACTCTACGGAGGAAGAAAGGGGTGGGGGTAGACCGAAGCCAATGCCTAGACTTCAGATTTGTCTCACTTTGCTTTGTTCTAGCACAGTGTGGTGGCTTAGTAGTTTTCAACAATTTAAACTGGGGAATTAAACAGATCAGTGTTTTGAAGAGGTCATTTGGAGGTTTTTTTTTTTTTTTAAGAGAGAGCTATAAGGATGGAGACAAGCAAGTCGGTTTGAAGGCCACTAGAAAAGTCCATTGGAGAAAAAAAAGAGGGTCTAAAAGTCATAAAAAAATATTACAAGTACTGTAACAGATTAGAATGGCAAACGTACACACTGTTTTCTGATTGCTTTGTGGTAGAGGGCAAGGAAAGATACAAGGAAAACTAGTTAATGACATAGGATGACCTACAGGAAGACAGCGCACCTTCCCTCAAAATAATCTGGAAGGAGCTCTATGATCTAATAAAATTTCCATCAAGGATGACAAATATTTTGTTTGACTCTTTTCCTGGGACTAATCCTCATTTGACAAAGTCCTCTCTGTTCTTTCCTCATCTCAAAGAATGATTTATAGTCACATGTTATTTAGAAAGAACTTTAATTTCAGTACTGGAAAGAAAAAGGCACCTGTGTGTCATAATAGCATCAAAGAAAGAACAAGAATGTCTTGCTATGCTTTTTTTCCAGGAGGTAGACAGCCCTTGTCATTGTAAAGGCCGCAGGACATATTTACTTTATTTACCATTATCTCTCTATGTAATATATGACACTGGCCTTGGTCAAAAGTCAATCAAGAAGGCCACAAAGAATGTTGGATTGGGGTACAAATCTGAGTCTTTCCATGTGCTTTTCTCAGTTTCAAGCACATATTAAATGTTTAGAAATGTCAACATTTATTATTTTCTAGAATTTTATTAAACTATTCTATTTCTATTTTTATTCTCTATTATCATGGAGTGAGAAGTGTGGTTGGTGTTTAAGAGTATAAAAGAGGGTAAAGAGAAGACCAGTAAGTTACAAAGAAGGACAAGAGACAGATTCTTATCCACTACTGAGTTATAGCCCACAGGTCAAACCTGGCCCACCACCTGTTTTTTTTTTTTTTTAAAGATTTCATTTATTTATTCATCAGAGAGAGAGAGAGAGAGCACACACACACAGGGGGAACAGCAGGCAGAGAGAGAAGCAGGCGCCCCGCTGAGCAAGGAGCTCTATGTGGGACGTGATCCCAGGACCCTGGGATCATGACCTGAGCTGAAGGCAGATTCCCAACCCACTGAGCCACCCAGGCATCCCCTACAACCTGTTTTTATAAATATACTTCTATTGAAACACAGCCATGTATATTTATTTACATAATGTAAATTTATTTACTTACACAACAGCATGATTGAGCGGTTGTGACAGAGACTGTATGTCCTACAAAGCCTAAAATATTTACTATCTGGCTGTTTACCGAAAAAGTTTGCCTACCCATAGTCCAGACAAGTGCTCTCCTTGGGTGTTTTTGAAGCCTTGAGAGAGAGGAAAACTTCAGGTGAGTTCCTTACATGAGAAAATAAGGAGTTTGATAGTGTTAGATCTCTGAAAACCCATATTCTGAAAATGGAATCATTTTCAGCATCAGTTCTAGAGAAATGTGTAAGTCTGTGGTGGTGACCAAGTAGAGGTGATATCGTTGTTTTTTTTTTAAAGATTTTATTTATTTATTTGAGAGAGAGAATGAGAGAGAGAGAGAGAGCATGAGAAGGGGGAGGGTCAGAGGGAGAAGCGGACTCCCTGCCGAGCAGGGAGCCCGATGTGGGACTCGATCTCGGGACTCCAGGATCATGACCTGAGCCGAAGGCAGTCGCTTAACCGACTGAGCCACCCGGGCGCCCAAGGTGATATAGTTTTGCTTTGTCAGTTCCAACTCAGGATCCTTTGTCACTTCCTGGGCTAGAATTTTAGGGCTGGTTTGTGAAATCTTAGTGACATGGGTCTGGTTTTCATTTGCCTCCCATCCATTGAGCCATAACTCAAGAAGCAACTCAAAAGTTAGTTCACTTGAAAGAAAAATTAGTCTACTTGACATTTAATGCAGCTATTTTGTTGTGAACATTTTGACACAGATGACATTTTATATTCACCTGTTTGTGTCTGCCAAAAAAAAAAAAATCAACTTTCAGCTTTTTAAAAATCCCAAGTAATGTGTTCAACACCTTCACATTCAACCCCAATCCCTGCACCTCAGTCCACTGTCTATTTTTCTTGGACCCCATCCCATTCATGATGTCTGCATCCTCCACTTTACCCTGACTTTCCCTGGGTCCCTGGGCCTTTCTCCATCCCCATGTCTCATCCCATTCCAGACCATCCTATGCTCCACCCCACCCTATTCCTAAGCAACACTTTCCCTGGTGTTCAGAATGATTATCAAGGATTGGTTAAGTCTTAAGCATACGATAACAAAGTCTTTTGTGCATATTACCTAATAATCATAATCATCACAAAAATACTAATGAAAGAAGGTAAAGGGTTTATTGTTTATAGCTCAATAAAATGTTCAAAATGACATAAAAAAGCAACTGCTTCTCAAAAAATAATATGTCTTAGCCATGGACACCCTAGCCATCCAGAGTTTCTGGATTTCCTAAACTACCCAGGAAGGAGATACAATCTCATGTTACAGACTCCCTAAACCCTTCCCTTACATCCTGGAATTGCCAAAGAAAATAGCAACATTGTTTTCTCACTTCTTTTTTTTTTTTTGAAATGACAGTATTTTCATCCTTGAAAAATGATTTACAAGTCTTCTTTTTTTTTTTTTCCTGTTTTCTTAATGATAGCATAGAAAAAAAACTAGTGTGGAATTGATCTTTCACACAGTTACAAAGGACAAAGATCACAAAATCCTACTATAATTGCCCTAGGGACAACTTATCTAAAAGAAAAGGGCAGAGGTGAAAAACACAGAATTAACTTCCCCAATCCAAGTAGACCTGCCATTCTGGGTACAGTTCTTCTAAAGCTGAGAACAACTTCAACCATGATGGACTCTGCATTGCTTTCTCCCTCTAGGATGTGTTCAGCACCAGCCCCATAACTGTAAGTGAACAACGTAACTAGGTACGCTCACAGGATGCCAGTATCAAGATGCTGAGCACGACAGAGTTTCAGCACCGAGGCAGGAGCTTACAGGCTGTTCCATCTCACCCCTACCTACTGCTTGTATTCCCTGGTTGATTTCTCAGGTGCATGAGCTCAATGACTGGTTTAGTGGCCTCTAGCTACATGTAGCTATTAAGCACTTGAAATGCGGTTGGTCCAAACAGATATGCTGGAAATACAAAATACATACACTAATATCAAGACCTGGCTAAAATAAAAGTTTATATTGGTTATATTTTGAAATGATAATAGTTTTGACATATTGGGCTACATAAAATATATTGTTAAAGTTGACTTTACCCATTTCTTTTGTATCTACTAGAAAATTGGAGATTACATGTCATTTGAATTCTATTTCTAATGGACAGCGCTGCCCTAGCGACATGCGACACACTGGTAATTCTCATTTCCTTAGTCTTGCCCAGACCATGGGTCCAAGGCCCTGATAGAGGAAATAGTCAAGGAGCAACATGACTGAATATGAGAAACTACTGGTTTGTGTCTTTGGATGGTATCTGTGTAACAGTGGTAGTTACGCTCTGTGGAAGTACAGAAGGTAGGCAGGAGAGCTGGTAAGGTGACAGGTACTGAAAGTGATTCATAGCTGGTTTAGTCTTACACAGCTCTTGAATGCCAGGGAGCCCATACCTCCCTACCTCCCTTTTAGACATGTCTTCCCAACTATGACAGCAACTTGAATCTGAAAAAAGTGAGCATTCTGTGTCCACCAATAGCTTAGCAAGACAAAAGGGTAGAGTTTTTGGCTTCTGTAAAAAAAAAAAAAAAGTTCCTATTATCCAGGCAGTGACGAATCCCAGAAATGGTGTTCTGCTGGGTTTACTTTTATTGAACAAGTATTTGAACAGACAGCATTGTGATCAGGAGGTTTTCAAGCACAGACAGATGGAGATGTCTCTGTGCCCTCAGATCACAGAATCTAGGAGGAAAGAGACGGGAAAGACTGGAAGTCAGTGAGTCCATTCCCCCAACAGCTCTGTATTATTTTCTATAGTAAATAAGACAGGCTCTGAAGAATTCTTTCTCTATACAGATGGTGAGGGTTAGGCGATTCAGAATTGGGGCATATATTTTCCCTCCTGGCTTTCACCAATTCTTCCACCATTTGTCCTGGAAGAGAAGATGGGTAGGTTAGGTGCTAGAAACTGAGAGATACTATAGATATGTGGGTTCTACATCTACAGGTGTACTGTAGTCAAAGAAATCCATACATCCTTGCAGTCTGCCAAGAACTCACCATTTACGATCACTTTCACATTTTATCCAATTGATTCAATGAGTACCGAGCACCTAGTACACACTGCCTGCAGCAGTAGATACAAATACTAACTCTGCCCTTGATCATGTGTGACCCTCATCATCATGTGTGATCATGTGTGACCAGACCCTGCTAATGAAAAGAGGTAGGTGTCAGTAACATCGTTTCACAGAGGAGGGAACAGAGCTCCAGAGAAGGTTAGTGACTTGCCAAGGTCTCACACTGGGTCAGAACTTAAATCCAATTCCTCCAACACTAATGCTTTACTATTATAAGTTGTTTGAGGCCATAAGAATTTAATCAGCTAACTTGCTTGCCTGACTCATCCAATATTCATACACTCTTGAAATGGACATTTAAAAGAGTGAATCAACACCTAAACATTTTTCAAAAGAAGGTAAGGGCCTCAGGAAGTTTTTTCCCAGGTAACTGCACAGTGTCAGCCTGGAGCAGTAGTGCTATTGTTCCAACCCAGACCTCCATTTTAGTTGTCACATCCACCCCAGGAGATTTCCTTTGGTTTGAGGGTGGCCATCTATGGTCTTGTGGTATCTTCGAAAAGCTTTGTCATGGAATTGAGAATAGTCATTTATTCATCTCACAAAATAGTATTAGTATTTTCCTTAACAGAGAAATGTCCTTTCAAGGTAGCTAATTTTTATTTAATTGAGCTATGTAATCCCTCTTCTAGAGCCCCTGGTTTTCAGAATTTCCTGACAACTAAGGGATGGTGGCAGAGCATAAGCTATGAAGCCAGAAGATCTAAACCAGATGCAAAATAGAATGTTGAATAACTGATAATTGCAGGGTCTCCCGTAGGCTGATTTTCTATAAAATGGGAAAGATAATAATCCCTGCCCTAATCACAGTCCTACTGTGAGAATGCATACAGGGAAGAGCACATAAAATTCTGAGTTACATAAATCTTAGGAGTTACTGTATAATAGAAAATACTTCCTAGATACTAAGCATGAGTATACATTCTAGGATCTTCAGTCTATTTTTCTAGGAAAGTAGTGACTGCCTGGCCTTTTATTCATTCTTCAAATTCCAGACTCTCTTAGAGATTCTTTCTATACAGGAACAAAGTTCAGGCAATTGCTTTCAACCTCCAGGATATGCATGCATCATAGTTATAAGAGCAATGCTGGGCCATGACCCACTTGGACACCTTAGTATATCCAAGATCACACCCCTGAATCATACAGAGGGAACTGAACCCATGTTCAGGACACCTTTTGTTCTAATGATTTATTCCATCATCTTAACACCATAAATAAGTCCTGTCATTAATAATATGTTACATAATTCTAGTGGAAAGAAAACACCCAAAAAGGAAAAGAAGAAACTCTCTCACAAAACCTTTTATGCTTAGCCCTGTCAAGATTCTTCCTTATTTGAATAAATACATCTTATCAGTAATACCCTATGGCAAATTTCTCATAAAGTAGTTTTTGTCAAGTTGTCTACATGAGAGTACAGCAAGATGTGGTCTAAAGTGTGATCTTTAGGATTCACATAAAGATGATTTTTACCTACTGTCCTGAGTTACATGTAATTAGGTATGTGTGTGAGAAGGATACTATATTCTGTTAATAAAAAAGGAGCAAACCACTAAGAATTTATATGTAATAAGACAGCACACACAATATGGGGTCTAGAGCAAAAGTTGATACCGTCTCCTTATGGATGTGTAACAGATGACTGTCAAGCCCACAGGAGGAAAGATGAAGGTCTTCGGGCTTCACCCCAATACTCTGCCTACCCCATCCGGCCTTCCAGCTGCTAATGTAAAACCAAAACCACTGAGTTTCCATCTCTTGTTTTTCCAGGGTCCCATATCAAGACTCACTGAGTAGTTCTTATGAATGCAGTCTCATCTAGTGTTGCTTAGGAGTTCCAAATCTGGCAGAGTAGTCTCCAGTTCCATTATTGCCAGAGCTTTCTGTGGCAGTGGAATGGAGTGAAACCAGTTGTGAATAATAATAAATATTTATTTAGTAAATATAATTTATTAGAATATTTTGTTTTTATTGAATATATATATATTTTTAACATCAAATATAAGGTTATTAAACTATAATCCATTATAATTATTAAACATACATAAGCGCTGTGCCAGGATCTGTTTCTCTAAGTTTCCACTATGGACTCTTCCCTTTCTCTAAGTTCATACTTTGGTCTCTTTGGCATAATAATAATAGTGATAATAATAATAAATGCCATTAGTTTGTAGACACTGCCAAATGCTTAAAAGTCAGTACTTACTGAGTATTTTCAATAACTTGGTGAGATCTTTGGTTTAGATATTTGATTTGCCAAAGGTCTCATATATGAGAAATCTAAAAAACTGGAATTTAAACCCATATTTGGCTGGTAACAAACATTTTTTCTTGTTTGAAAATTCCTACATTTTCCCCCAAGTTACATATCATCTTGCCCGAGGAAGAGCGTCCTCAAATGCAATCACCAGGGAGAATGGCGAACTCGATAAAGTCTGTCAATCTTGCAGGCTGCAAGGATGTTTTGACAGACATTATTGAGTTTGCTGTTCTCTCTGGTGATTGCATTTGAGGACACGACCATGAAAGACTTTGGAATCCGGGAACCAAACTGACGGTTACAGAAGGGAGGGGGATGGGGGGGATGGGGTAACAGGGTGACGGGCATTAAGGAGGGCACATGTGGTGAAGAGCACTGGGTGTTACACACAACTAATGAATCGCTGAACACTACATCAAAAACTAATGATGTATTATATGTTTGCTAACTGAACATAATAATAAAAAAAAATCCTTGCAGGGATTTAAATGAAAAGGCCAGCTTTTCATGTTGGGAAACAGTTAAATGCAATGTTGAGTGTGAGAACGTGGGGGTTTTACAGAAATGGTTGAAATTCAGTTCCGTCCCTATGTGACCTCCCTCAATCTTTTCTTCTCTCTTTATAGTAAATCACAGGATATAAAACCTACTTTGCAAAAGTGTTATGTGAGGGACCTTGCTCATAAACAATCTATTAATGATCCCAGTTAACAGTAAGCACTTAAAAATATTAACTATTATATTATTATCCCCGCATATTTCAGTGATTACTTAATTATCCTCACAATGAAGATGTGACCAATTCTGAGCCAGTATCACTGCCCCAGCCAGAGAAATGTCCATCGGTCGGTGGCAGACACAGAAGCAGAACCAGTTGGCTCTGGCCGTGTAATGGGGACGCAGTGTACTTACAGATGCTGGCACATCGAGAGGGGTTGTTTCTGGGGTGCTGTTCTTTTCACACCTCCCTTCACTGCGTATGTGTGTATTAGTTTGGCGTATTCTAAAACAGAGCAGAGGAAATTAAAAAGATGGAAAAACTGACAGTTATGATGAGAAAAGAAAACAAACAAGGATCAATGGGGGTGACGTGTGGGCATCAAACCAGAACTGAAATTACAAGTAGGACCCGGGATCTGAATTCAACTATTTCCCAGTAGGAATCACCCAGGTTTTGTCTCTCTCTCTTCAGATTCAGCCCCAGATTCGTTCCCCAGTCCTGGATTCATTCCATCACCTTTCATTCACCTATATACTCATGAAATTGTTCAATGTTAGAAATAAACTTGGAGGGGCGCCTGGGTGGCTCAGTTGTTAAGCATCTGCCTTCGGCTCAGGTCATGATCCCAGGGTCCCGGGATCAAGCCCCGCATTGGGCTCCCTGCTCAGCAGGAAGCCTGCTTCTCCCTCTCCCACCCCCCCGCTTGTATTCCCTCTCTCACTGTCTCTCTCGCTGTCAAATAAATAAATAAAATCTTTAAAAAAAAAAAAAGAAAGAAACTTGGAGACCGTCTATTCCAGAAGCCATTATTTTACGGATGGGAAAACTGAATCCCACAGAGAAGCTTCATTTTACTGAGTACCTATAATGTGGGATTACAAAATACAATACATATATATAATAAAAATATGTAAAATGCATATAGAATATAGATTTTATAAAATACAATAATATGTAATCATACAGGTCGAGTTTTATAGCTGGAAAAAATCTTAAAAGGTATGAATTTCAATGCCTCTCTTAAATATTTCATATCAAACATCTGCTTGTTTGCTTCTGGTGATGGGAAACTCACTGTCTATCAAGGCAGTTTGACTTGTCTTTGGACATTGCTCAAGTTGAAATGGCTTCCCTCTAAGACCACAGAAACCAATACTGTTTCCTCTTGCCTGGGACAGCCTGGATCCTCCCTCTATAATATATACTACCAGTTCCTTTAGCTAAACAATCCAACCTGAGCCATGCTTTATTAATATTTTTACCATTGAAGTTTCTGACTCTAAAGTTCCCTTGACTAAAGTGTCACTTGTTACGGGTTTATACAGTTAATGGAATGCTTAAAGAACACTGGGTGGATAATTTAGGCCCCGACATTTACAATAAAGGGAAGTTGAAGAATTTCTGGGCTGAAGATAAGGCATATATAGTAACAAATTCCTGAATGGTTGCATTCATTTCTTAAATGGAGATTTCTTAATTCTTAAAACTCTGTAAGATCCATGGAGGGAATTCAGGAGATTCATGTACCCATAAATATTATGCAGACAAATTGTTAATGTTGCTTCATTTTCTTTTCTTTTCTGGAAAGAGGTAACTTTCTCATCATCAAAGGAACTTTTGATCCCTTGACTACCTTGGATATAACAGTAGTGTAGTGGAGAGAAAAGAGAACTGTATTTAGACCCAAACCAACAGGGTGAAAATCCTGTCTAATCTACTTCCTAGCTTTGTGACTTTAAACAAGTTACCTGGACTCTCTGAACCTTAGATTCGCCCTCTGTACAGCGAAGATAATAGCACTCATAGCATGTAGTGAGGATTCAGCAAGAGAGTGAATGTGCGAGTGTCTTACAGATGTGAGAACACACAAAGCACTCATATTCAGATGTTATGCTAAGTGTATAAACTGCAGAATGTCCCATCCTCACATTCTGGGCTTTGCTTATCGTGTCCCCAGAAGGCAAGAACATACACGGACTACAGTGTAAATATGGGTGGGGTGGGAGTGGGATGGAAGAGTCAAGATTTGTCACCACGCTTTCACTTAAAGCTGGTAAAATGTGAGGCAGATGAATGGAGGTGAAGATAAGACAGTATTTGAGCAGAAAAGCAAAAAGCTAAAACCCATAACTACAGTATTAAAACAAATTCCTCATATGTAATTTTAAATAAAAATGGCAATTCAATTCTTCTTAAAAACCCAGTGAAGCCAGCTAGCTCAGAGAATGGCCTGCACTTCCTCAGTGGAAAAAGTGAATCTGAGAATGATGAGATAACATGGCCACAGATGCACAGACAGTAATAAATCTGAGTGCCCACACCAAGTCCACCATTTGCCATTTGTTCCAGGGGCTTTCTCTTGAATGAGACCACTTCTGCTCCAAGAAGAAGACTTGGAGAGGTTGGAAAATATGTGACTATCCGGTAGCCAGACGGCCCAGGAGAGATTATTGGCCAGGCGGACTCAACACAGCAATGATTCTCAACTTTTTTTCTTTTTACACAACGCGTGGACGATGTTCACATTCCCATGACTGTACGTGGGCTAATAGAGACTTTCTCTAATTGTTGCAACCCCACCACTTTTTCCTTTCTCTTCCACTCAGTAAAGTATATAAGCAACTTAATCAAAAGGATAGCCTCCATCCTATTTTATATTTGAATAAGATCATCCACAAAATTTGAATTTTTAACTGCTATGATTAGTAAATTGGTGCAACGCACCTCCAATTGGTATGAAAGCAGTCCTATGGGTCGACACCATAGTCAAGAACCTCTCCACTTGAAGATATAGTACAACATGTATACTTACAGGTTTTCATGACAGAGCATGCAGGGATTGTTGTATGTCTGGCCATCATCACCACAGACAGGCTGTAAATTCTTTGGGCAAAGGTAACCCATCTTGGGCAATACTCGGTAATGTTTGCACATCTCAGAATCCTGAAGAAGTAAAACATATATCAGATTTACTCAATGGCACTCAGGAATGGAAAAATCTTTTAATTTCCTCAGTCACATCTGAATAAAACATTAGTAAAGGAACTGTAACATAGGTCATAGAAACTCACTATTTAAAAATCAACCAACACACTTATAAATAACTCATGACTCAAGGTACTCATAATGGAATGTAGAAATGTTTTAAACTGAATGATAATAAAAATATAAACTACCAAATCACAGCAGCTAAAGCAGTGATTTGAAGGAAAGTTGTAAATAAATACATAATTGGCAAAGAAGAAAGCTTTAAGATCAATGATCTAAACTTCCATGTCAAGAAGCTAGCAAATGGGGGCTCCTGGGTGGCTCAGTTGGTTGAGCGGATGCCTTCGGCTCAGGTCATGATCTCGGGGTCCTGGGATGGAGCCCCAGGTCAGGTTCCCTGCTTGGCGGTGAGCCTGCTTCTCCCTCTCCCTCTGCCTGCTCCCCCCACCCTTGCTTGTGCACGCTCTCTCTCTCTGTCAAATAAATAAATAAAATCTTAAAAAAAAAGAAGCTAGCAAATAATAAACAAATTAAGCTCAAAGAAAATAGAAGAAAAGAATAATACAGAAGAGAAATATATGAAATAGAAAACGACAAAGCAAAACACTGGTTGTTTGAAAAGATTAATAAATTGAAAAACCACTTGCAAAATCGATAAAAAGGCAAGAAATATACATTACCAATATTAAAAATAAAATGGGGGTTTCACTATATATAGATATAAAAGGATAATGTGGAAATGTTATAACTATATGCCAATAAACTTGACAACTTAGATGAAATTAAAAAATTCCTTCATGGGGCGCCTGGGTGGCTCAGTTGGTTAAGCGACTGCCTTCAGCTCAGGTCATGATCCTGGAGTCCCGGGATCGAGTCCCACATCGGGCTCCCTGCTCAGCGGGGGGTCTGCTTCTCCCTCTGACCCTCTTCCCTCTCGTGGTCTCTGTCTCTCATTCTCTCTCTCTCAAATAAATAAATAAAATCTTTAAAAAAAAAATTCCTTCAAAACAACTTTCTGAAACAAAGAAATAGAAAATCTAATAGTATCATATCTGTAGGTATTCTTTCCAGAGGCATAAAGAAGTACTTGTTTGTTAGTTTGTTTTGATAAATAATTCAAACATCCAGGGGTGCCTAGGTGGCTCAGGCTGTTGAGTGGCTGACTCTTGGTTTTGGCTCAGGTCAAGATCTCGGGGTCATGAGATGGAGCCCCGCTTTGGGCTCACGCTCAGCGTGGAGTTGGTTTGGCCCTCTCCCTCCCCCTCTGCCTCTCTTCCCAATATTTATTTTATTTGAAAGAGAGAGAGAGCACGCGTGCACATACACACACATATGCATGTGCATGCAAGTGGGGAGAGGGGCAGAAGGGGAGGGAGAGGGACTTTGAGAGGTGGTTGGAGCCAGGGTCTGCTCTGAAGGTGAAATCAACCATAATCGGTTCAGAGTTCATAGACTATGTAAGAAAATACCAAGGATATCTCTCCCTCTCTCTCTAAAATAAAATTTAAAAAATCCAGTGGACTGCTTTAGAATATGGTGAGTTCCATATTGGTAGATATTCAGGGAGAATTTAGACAAGCACCTTCTATGAATCACTGGCAAAGGTAGGAATGAACCAGATATATCTTTAGCATTTTTTTTCAGGTATCTGCTGCTACAAGGTTCAAAACTACTAGGATAAAGCATTACAAAGAAGCAACGACAGGCTTCTTTGTACAAACTTTTTTTTTAAGGGTACAAACTCTCACTTATAAGATGAATAAGTTCTGGGGGTGTAATGTACAGCATGGTGATTATAGCTAATCATTCTGTATTATACACTTGAAAGTTGGTAAGTGAATAAATCTTAAATGTTCTCACCACACACACACAAATAGTAATTATGTGAGGTGATGGTGGTGTTTGTTGACATTACGGTGGTATCATTTTGCAACCTAAAAGTGTATTAAATTAACACACTGTACATATTAAATTTACACAGTGTTATATGTCAATTATATCTAGAGGGAAAAAGAACAGATTTTGTGAATAGTTTCTCTCCATGCTTACAGGATTCCTAGGGTAGCATCTAGTTTACTAGAAATCTGTAATTAGTATATATTTCACTAGGGCAACTCATCTACTATCCTACTTAAATTCGGCAAATAATAAGATTAAATTCATGTTTGATACTTTTCTTTTTTTTTCTGGGTCATCAGACTAGATGCTAAAGTTTCACTTTTAGAGGCCAATTTGATATGCTACTTCATGAATATACTTCATGAATATGCTCTTATTCCCTTTCCTCCTTTTTATTCCTCACTTTGGCAAAGCTCTAAAAAAGCAAACGTGTTAGGCTAATTTACACTAAGGTGTATGTTACTGAAGGACATCAGCTTGTATTTTGAATAAACAAGTTTTAACCACTGTGAATCGCTAATTAGTGGAATTTCACAGGTGTGAAAAGGCTCCGCGCACCCCTCTTTAGGCTATTGGGAAGAGGGTTGATTTGGGGAGGGGGAGAGACAGGAAGCTGGGTGAGGAGTCTTTTTGGCCTGCTGAAATTACAGAACTGAGGCTCCTAACTACTTATCTGACCATATGTGCAATAAGCCACATTCATGATACACCCACGTTTTAAAATTTCAATAATGTACTAAATTGGCTTGGAACAGGGCTAATAATCTAAAAGAGCACATAATAATGCACTGATGAGACATTCCCAGAACTCTCACTGAGCTTGGAACTATACACAAAGGGTTTGGAGCTACACTGAATTCACCTTTCCAAGGCCTCTTTATGGAAATGAAGCTCATGGGTGGTGGTGGGGGGGGGGAGGGCAGATTGGCAACAGACCCCAAACAAATGCATCAACTTAATAAGTAGCTTTTCAGGAGTAGTCATTCTTACCAGAAAAGAAGTGGAGGAAGTTGGGCTGTTTTCGTCCATAGATCTAACGTGGAATGATTTCTCTTGAATTCTTGCCCTTTCCAAAGCTTCTTTTTGACTACAGAAGAAGACGAAAAGTAATTTAAAGTTATAGCCACAAAGACTAGCGCCTGTAACTTCCAGTGGAAGCTATGCCATCCTAAATAAAATATGATAGAACCGCAGAACATTCAGCCAGAGGATGATGTAAAGAAAAGTACACAATGGGGAACTGGTTGAGAGCACTCATCACTTACTAGATGTATGACCTTGGACAAGTTGCTTAAATGCCTTGAGCTTATCTTTTCTAGAACTTAAAAAGAGGGTAGTATTGATAATTCCTGTCTCCAGGAATGTACTACAAAGAGCTAAAAAAATACTGATTATTACAATTGTGTTCACAGTGTTTCCATAACTATCGTCATCAGTATCTATCATGTCCATTGGTCCCCAAATATAGTTGTTCATCAAAATAACCTAGAAACCCCTTCTAAACAACAAATTCCTTAGCCCTGAATTTTTTGCCAAGTACATTTTGGGGGGTAAAAATCTGTTATTTCGGAAAAAGACTTTTCTGTTGAGTCTGATCCAGTTGTGGAACAAAGATTTGGAAGATTTTCTTGTAGTTATGATCCTGAGAGTTGACAAAAGTTTTATCCAGTGACACAGCTAGTAAATATCCTGGTTAGAATTCACATATGGATTTCCTGTCTCCTATATCAAGTGTTCTCAACGTAAGGGCCTCGAGTCTAAAGACTTATTTTAAGGACGCCACGGATTCATGAGCACACATTTATTTAATCGGCAACTTCTAAAGATGCTGTTCCCATGGGTCCTGTCCCCATGCCTTAATAAAAACACCTTTTGCACTGAAAAATAAAAATGAAAATAAAAAATTACACAATTCCCCCACTAGCTGGAGGGGTAACAGGATCCTCTTACTCACATGATCGTTCTGCACATGTGGCACTTGTTTTTGTATAATTTTCCATCAGCACCACGCACGGGGTCATTCTCTTGAGTGCACATGAGCCGGTCATTCCTCACGTACTGCCGAAAGTTACTGCACTCGTCCTAGAAAATGAGAAAGGGGAAGTGAACAGGATTTTTCCCCTTTCTAAAACTTGGTCTTAGAAAGTCCTTTCTTAGCTCTGAGCTCAGACTCACTGCCCTTATCCTGGCAATGGAGGCCAAGGAACGCCTAGACTTTAAAATTTCCAACCCCACTTCATTCTGAACTTTTCTTCCTGGGTCCTAGAAATGCAGAGCGGAACACTTAATAGATCATGTCTCCCTCACCCTTTCCTTCCTAGCTTCCTTCCTTCCTTCCCCTCCTTTTCCACATGAGCTGTACTCTTTTTTTTTTTTTAAGATATTTAAAAAATTTATTTGTCAGAGAGACAGAGCACGAGCACACAAGCAGGAGGAGCGGCAGGCAGAGGGAGAAGCAGGCCGCCCGCTGAGCAAGGAGCCTGATGTGGAACTCGATCCCAGGATCCTGGGACCATGACCTGAGCCAAAGGCAGACGCTTTAACTAACTGAGCCACCCAAGCATCCCACAGGAGCTTTACTCTTGACCAAAGGACAATATCACAGGAATCTAATGCCACAAATATGATTATCACTGCAAAGGACTGAATGAAGATGTCTTCTTTGCAGGCTTGAAAAGTAAATAGAAGAGGCAGCATCATGCATACACACTACTGATTTGTTGATGCTGAGAAAGCTATCTGGAGGAAACAGAAAAAAAAGACATCAAGGAGAGAAGCTAAAGGGGAGGCTTTGTAATTAGTGTATGTTACCTGAATTGTAAAAATCAATGTCAACAAGCTACCCGAAGCCTCATTTCACATTTATGTCAGAGGAAAGCATGCAGTTGAGGTGAAAGAATTTTACACTCTATTTTTTCAATCCATATTTCTCCCAAAGAGGAGAGCAATATTTGATGTACACTGAGGGCAAATTCTCTACAAAACTGAGAAAAATATTAAACTTAAAGCCAGACAAAAATGTTGTTATAACCAAAATGAAATATTAGCAAAGTCTATTTTCTTTGAAGCAAAACATTGGCATTTTTATTATCCAAAAAACCAGAGGAGAATGTCAGATTCTGAGGATGAAAGGCAAAATAGTTATCTTCGCATCTTTTAAGAAATGACCTTTGCATCATCTGAGGGCTTGGCACTTGATTTTTCTTCGTCATTCTTTTTTCTTTCACTAGCTTCTCGCTCACTGCAGAATAAAAAAGGATAGGATTGTTTTTTTATAGGGTTCTTACTGAGTTTTTTTGTTTGTTTGTTTTTACTGAGCTTTTTAAATGAAGTATTTCTCTAATTCTAAACCTTAGCAAATCTAACACTATTTTCTCATATCTGAAAAAAATACCTAAAATACTTTTTTTTTTTCTTTTTTACTAATGAGTCTTAACTGTTGGAATTTTCATAGTGCATTTGTGGCAATGCTATCGACTTCCATAAATTCGGTTACTACACTGTCATCCAGAGTGCTATGCTTAATAAAATATTTTATTAATAAAATATTTTATTAAGGAAAAATACAATGTATTTTTCTCTCTCATGTAGAGTTGCTTCCTTCCTCCTTTCTCTTTTCCATATTCAATTAGAACTGAACTTTCCAATATTGATTTTCTTTATGTAGTTATATTGCTTCAAGTTTATAAATGTTTGAAGCATATTATCTCCTTGAATCACTACGAAAAGTCTATCATGTAGAAATTGCTGCCTTTACATAAAAGAGGAAGTATGTGGTTACTCAGCTGATGGACTTCTCTGAAAGCCCGGGATTTGGGCACCATACAACAGCTGTCTCCCTGTCCCAGATGCTCCGGGTATGATTACGCTTCTCATCATCAAAGGAAACATTTCTTGCGAGAGTGTTCTGGAAGCTCACTGTCCTCTTCTAAAGGGAAGGCTTTGTCTGTTTTTCATGTGCAATGCCCAGGGCCTTAAGTTTTAAATTAAAAAGAACCATCTCCTTGCAAACAAGCAAAACCCATCAAATTGGTCGATAAACCTCTTCACGTACAAGATGCTCTGACACATAGCACACTTGTTGATGTGCATCTTGCCATCTGGACCCTGAACAGGGTTGTTTTCTCTGGTGCAGATAAACTTCCCCTCTCTCACCATATTCCGGAATTCATGGCACTGATCCTGCCAAGAGAAACAGAAAAAAGATGTTACCATGAATAGTCTGAGCTCGAAAATTTAGAACATAATTTGTGAGATATAAGCTCATAATACTTGAGGGGGGAAATAAACATCTAGAGAAAACAGAATTTTAGGGATGGAATGTGTTTTAAAGGCTCTTTATTCAATATCTGCGTAGGAAGTTAGAATCCTCTCCATAGTGTCCCTCTCAAATAATGACTTTGGTGGAATTTCACGACTGCCTAGGGCAGCCTCTACTGTGTTAATGCAATTTTTAGCAGGCTGAGCCCCAAACCTGTCTCCCTGCAGCCTCCTCATTACTCCACACATAAGTAAGCCCTGAAATGAAATGATAGACGCTCTGTTCCTCAAGAACAAAATAATATTTTATTATATGCCAGGCATTTTGTTGTTTGCTAAGAGCACACAAGATAAACACTCATTATCCTCATTTTATTGATGATAAACACTCATTATCCTCATGTTATAGGTGAGAAAATAAGGCTCAGAGAGATTAAATAAAGCCAATGTTGGAATTGTGATCAGAAATCGGGTAACAAGCTTTGTTATTTTCTGCGCTTTTACCTGGCAGAGAATAAAACTCCTAAACACTTGTAAAAAGATAAAGCTGCCTTTTATATTCACTGAAAAATAAGAACCTTAAAAAGAAGGCAGTGAAAATGAATCCACAGGATCTGCCTCTGATGAAATTTTTGGACATCTACAGAAATTTGTCATTAACTACCTGTAAGCTCAAAGAGCCAAAGGAAATATATGGGAAAATCACCTTGAAAAATACTGCTAGTGACGTGGATGGCAGTTACCCTTCCTTCTTTCTTTCTCCTTCCTTCCTTCCTTCCTTCCCACCTTTCTCCCTTCCTTCCCACCTTCCTTCCTTCCTTCCTTCCTTCCCACCTTTCTCCCTTCCTTCCCACCTTCCTTCCTTCCTTCCTTCCTTCCCACCTTTCTCCCTTCCTTCCCACCTTCCTTCCTTCCTTTCTCTCTCTCTTTCTTTCTTTCGAGAGATTTTATCTATTTATTTTAGAGAGAGAGAGAGTGTGAGTGGGGGGAGGAGCAGAGGGAGAGAGACAAGCAGACTCCATGCTGAGCATAGAGCCCGACACGGGGCCCGATCCCGTGACCCTGAGATCATGACCTGAGCCAAAATCAAGAGTCAGACGCTCAACTGACTGAGCCAGCCAGGTGCCCCTATCCTTCCTTCTTTAAATTGTGATACCCCTGAACAACTCCAGACCTACTTTTATTTGCAGTATTAAAAAAGTTCTCTGGAGTTCTTGATCAAAATACTAAATGTCTCACAGCCATCATTTTTGGAAGTTGCTAGAATTATTTCTTTTTCCATCTATGCAAAATCCCACTTACATATGTGTTTATGATGGTGCCCATCTGCCTGTACTTCCATCTTTGCTTTATGGGTGCAATCTCTGGCTCTTATTATTATGAGCTGTGTGTAGTTAACTTATCTGAGTTTTTCTCAACTGAAAAACTGGATCAATACCACCTACTGCATAGATTTTGGGAAGGCTTATTTATTTTTTATTGACGTATAATTGATATCAGTTTCAGATACACAACATAGTGATTTGACATTTGTATACTTTGCAAAATGGTCACCCCAATAAATCTAGTTACCATCTGTTACCATACAGAGTTACTACAACGTTACTGACTGTATTCCCCATGTGTACATTATATCTCCCTGACATTTACTCTAGAACTGGAAGCTTGTCCTGGGTAGGTGGTCAGTATGGATAAATATTATTATGATTTGTCCCGCATAACTGACCACCTGGATCTGCATGTACACCAGCAGGCTAAGGAATGTTGTTTGTTAGACTCATGCTGTGTGAATAACCTTGGGAGCCTGGTTGTTTGAAATGTATTATCTGGCCTCCAGATGGCCCTTCTGTTCTGGGTGCCAAGAGCTACAAATCTTGTCTCACACCCCTTCCTGCTCAAGGCTGGACTGGCCCCCTAGAATGGAATCTGGGAGGGGACGCAGACAGACACAGCCCAGGCTCCTTGACAATACAGAAACATGGTAACATAGAAATGCAGCTCACAGCAAACTGCAGGTAGGCAGACAAATGTTTAATTTCAAACCCTATTATTTGCCCTATAAATATGGCTCTATGGGGAGGGTTGGTTGGAAGTCTCACCTGAGGGGAGGATGCTCAGCTCAGGCCTCTCAGCGGGGACTCCAGCCTGGCTGTTCCCACAGGGCTTCCCCAGCTAATGAGGTTGAATGCTGTAAGTATCTGATTTGATGTAACTTTGCCTTACTCTCATTTATTGCCTAGTATTACTTTCATCTATGTGTAGATTCCTTTCTTCTTCTGTTCCTATTAGGTTTCTATAATAATAATAAAAAACTTTTTCCTTTTTGAAACTTAAACACAGCTGTTGTGAATCTTTTGTTCAGAGCAGCAGGTTTAAATATGATGATGCATGTGATTTGTAAAAAATTTAACTTTGCAGATGTAGGTAAGACCATAGCTCTCTTTTTGCCACACAAACACACAAAATGTCTGGACATTTTTAATATATGAATATATAGAATATTTTTTGTTTGAAATTTCTAAAATAGATGTTAAAAAAAGAAAAATATTGACTAAGATTATAAATAGAATAGATGGCCAGTAGAGATGATTTGAATTTATACAATAAAATCTTATCTCAAGGCCATTCATTTACCAAATGATATTCCCAACATATATTTTTTAAAATGAAAATTACTATTAATGGTTCATTTTGTAAGTCAGTATAGACCTAATGAAAAGTTCCCTCATTAACATTCATTAACAGGAAAACTTTCCTGGGGAGACTTCACGATTTCTCTTTTTCTAACTGGAGTCCACTGATGGATTAGAAGAGATTGTGCTGTGTCATATTCTATGTGTTAGTGTTGTAAAGCATTGAACATTATTTTTAAAGCCCTAATTGAATACAAGACGGCACTGGAATGCCATGTCAAGAATTTATCATCTGGAGCTCTAAGTTTTTGATATTTGCTTTCTTATTTGTAGTTTTGGTGTCTATTTGCTTAATTATTTGTTTTAAAACTTCAGAGAAGAGGAGCGCCTGGGTGGCTTAGTCGGTTAAGCGTCTGACTCTTGGTTTCGGCTCAGGTGGAGATCTCACGGGTCGTGAGATGGAGCCCCATGTTGGGCTCTGTGCTCAGTGGGGAGTCTGCTGGAGATTCTCTCCCTCTGCCCCTCCCCCTACCTACACACACATGCTCTTTCTCTCTCTCTCAATAAATAAATAAATAAATAAATCTTTAAAAAAAAATAAAACTTCAGAGAAGAAATCCACTTCATCATAACAATAGCTTGGCAATGGTCATTGGTCCTACAGATAGGTGGTAATTACACCAGAGTTGCTTTCAGAGCACTGAAATAGCATGCTATTTCTTTGCAAGATCTGGCCATGCTTTCCTGTTCATCATTATGTACACAATGAGTGGGACAGAGTAGGCATTCCATAAATATTTGCTGAATGAATTAACCTTACCCCCAAGCTTCCAGCTTTAGGTATTAGTACATCTAACACACACTACCTGGTTTTCATTGCTCTTTTCTCCTGTGTTTCTCAAGTTGTCCTGCTCTTTCTTTTTTCTTTCAGCTGCTTCCCTTTCCCTTGAAAGAAAAATGGAAAAAAACATTTCAACCAAAGTGAACAAACACCTCATTAATAATTAGATCTGTTTTTAAAAAGAAGTTATTTTCTCAGACTGATGAGAAATGATTATCAAACTTTAATATTTGCAGTTAAAGGCTCATTTTTGAAAATACTCACAGTTTGTCCTTACACATCGCACACTTATTGCCGTGTGTCTTGCCATCCAGACCCTGGACAGGGTCACTTTCTCGGGTGCAGATAAGTTGTCCGTTTTTTACTTGGCTTCTAAACTCATCACACGTGTCCTAAAAAGAAGGAAAGTTTATATTGGAAATGGCTGTTTTCACATAGTATTTGATTGGGCTTGAAAATCTGAAGATTTTGATTTGAGAGTCAGGCAGCCACTTAACCTTGCTGGGAGGCAGTACAATGACCTACAAACATGTCCACATCCTAACTCCTGGGGACTGTAAACATGTAGCCTGACATGATAAGGACAAATTAAGGTTGAGGATAGAACTAAGACTGCTAATTAGCTGCCCATAACATGGAGACATTATCCTGAATTATCTGGGTGGCCCAGTGTAATCACAGAAGTTCTCATGAGAGAAAGAGGGGGGCAGGAAAGTCAGGATCAGAGTGAGGCAGCATGAAAACAATTCAACTGGCCCCTGCTGATTTAAAGGTGGCCACGAGCCAAGGAATGCAGGCAGCTCTAGAAGTTAGAAAAGACTATGAAACAGATCTTCCCTAGAGCCTCCACAGAGAGAATTTGCGTTGTGTTAAGCCACTGTTGATAGTAATTTGTGACAGTAGCTGAGCCTCATTCTCCTCATCTATAAAATAAAGTTAAAAAATGTATTTGACCAGGTTGTTCAGACAATGAAATAAACTACTATTTGTAAAAGTGCTTTGCAATATGTGAGACTGAAAGATTTCCATTTGGCATTAAATTTCTCCATTGAACAAGTTACCAGCAATATTGACATGTATGATGACTTCTCATCTTCTTAGGGCAAAGACCTTGGTTGGCAACATTGACGTTCTCTTTCCATATTTTTGATTGCCAAGGGTTGACTTACAGAAAGATCATTCTTGTTAAAATCTAGTTAATGACTCACTTTTTCTGATGCTGATTCAGTCCCATTTGATCTGTAGCCAGAATGTTTATTTTCTTCCTCGGCTTCTCTTTCCCTGGAAGAGAAGAATCAATAGTCATCCTGTTAACCCAGACTCAGGTTTGGAAGTAGCCTGAGAGTTTGGGTATCCGAAACCACCTCCTTCACAGAGGATCTCTGTGCATCCCTGAGGTGGACAGTCAGCTTGGTTATTAGGAAGCTTCCTCATCACAGGGTACGTATGATGGATATTATATGTAGATCAACTCAAGTAATTTCAAAGTCTCCTTTATTTGTGTCCAGATTTATCTCTGTGTAATGTCTGCCCTTCAGCCTTACTTCATTCACAATCCCAGGACAACACAGAACGGGTTTGCTGAATCCATTATCTCTTCTTGATATTAACCCATCAGATATTTAGAGGCAAGTTTCAGGTCTTAAGCCCAGTGTCCTCATCTTTTCATCATTAGTTGTGGTTTTTAATTCACCACCAACTCACCATTCTAGTGCCTTGACAAGTAAGGCAACCCATTAGAATATTATTTCTTTTCTTTTTTTTTTTTTTAAAGATTTTATTTATTTATTTGAGACAGAGAGAGCACATGAGAGGGGGGAGGGTCAGAGGCAGAAGCAGGCTCCCTGCCAAGCAGGGAGCCCGATGCGGGACTCGATCCAGGGACTCCAGGATCATGACCTGAGCCGAAGGCAGTCGCTTAACCAACTGAGCCACCCAGGCGCCCCTAGAATATTATTTCTTAAAGTATGGAGCCCAAGATAGAAAGAAGACAAGTAATCTAGAAAGTACCTTAGGATCATTTTTTTTTTTTAAATCTCTTACCTTTCTGATAAAATGTTTATTTCAATGGTCCCCAAAGTTTTCATGTGCATTAAGAAACACTGAGATTTTTAAAAATTCAGATCCACTGACCATCCCAACATGTTTACTGACAAGATTTAGACTGGGACTCTAGCCTGGTTTTTAATGAGCCAGGTCATTCTGATGCAGTTGGCTCAAGATCCAAATATTTCAAAACTCTAATATACTTATATCTCTTTCAAAGTTTCATTTGGTTTTGTACACAAAACAAACATGTGTATGAATGTACATAACATGAATATATACATTCTTTTTAGGGAGTTCCCTTTGTGTAGTAAAGTGGTAGTAAAACATATCCTGAAGATTCAAACATATATAAAGTCATGACATTTTATCAAGGACTATTGGAAAAAGAGGGTATTGTAATGATTCAGTTTAGTGGAATTCTAGTGATAATCATGGCTCTGATCAAAAGCCTCCAGTGACCTCTGATCACACATAGAATAAAATCCAATGTCCTTCTCTTGGCCTAAAAAGCCTTATTTGATCTCTCCAAACTCATTTTCTGCTATTTTCTGTGCAATAATTTTGAGACATGATGACCTCCTTTCTGTTTCTTGAGCTTGGCAATTTTACATCTTCAGAAATTTGCATTGATTTTTGCTCTGCCTGAAACTTTCTTCCTCCAGATGTCCAGATGATTCACTTCACTCACTTTTTACAGGTATCCCTCACATGTCAGGCCTGCCCTGAACACCATAAACAAAGCAGCAACTGCAATCCCTTTCTGTTGCTTCACTCTCTTTTATTTTCCTCATCACTATCTGGCTTTGTGCTATGTAGTTATTTCCTTATTTATTTATTTTTATTTTTATTTTTTTAAAGATTTTTTATTTATTTATTTGACAGAGAAAGACACAGCGAGAGAGGGAACACAAACGGGGAGTGGGAGAGGGAGAAGCAGACTCCCTGCTGAGCAGGGAGCCCGATGTGGGACTCGATCCCAGGACTCCAGGATCATGACCTGAGCCGAAGGCAGTCGCTTAACCAACTGAGCCACCCAGGCGCCCTCCTTATTTATTTATAATCTGTCTTTTCTATATTATATTATAGTTCCATGGCAGGAACTTTTTGTTGTTCACATCAAGAATGCTTGTCCATGAGTAGTGCCTGTTACATAGCAGAGAGTCAAAAACCATTTATTGTCAGATGAGTGATTTCCAAAGATCATAAAAAATATTCCATTTGTGTTGTGTTTTGTTAAATACTCCAGATAAGTATCTTATAAGATAGATGACACTGATAACAATGGCAAAATTTTATCTTCACTCCCCCCATGAGACCTTGAACTTAAAAAAAAAATTCAGGTTTTCTCATCTGTAAAATGCAACATTTGCACTAATCAAATTTTCTCACATGGCCTATACTGTCACAAGATTATAATTTCTTTTCAAGGAGAAAGGTGAAACAGATGTATATGTGGAGAAGCATTACTTATTAAGTATATACCAATTAAATGCCATAATTAATAACATTGTGCTATAGGCATCAAATTTTAGAACTACAAGTATCCATCAAGGTCACCTAGAAAACTGCCTTTATATACAGCAGTGGTTATGTTACTTGCCTCAGTAACACAAACCAAGTGTGGCTGAGTTGGATAATAAAGCACTCCAATTCAGTACCATTCACCGTGGGAAAACAGAAGCAACACACCCTGGATTATACAATAAATGTGTTGTATACATACAAGAAACAGCCCTCTTAAACTATGCCGGCGAACTATCCCAAATGACCTTCACAAATTCTCCATAGGACTTAGGCATTATATGTTCTGAAGCACAATTGTCTACCATGATGGCACTTGTAGGTCACAGAATTATGATAGAAAAAATAGAGTAGGAATCAGACATTGATTAGCTGCCATTGCTAAGGCTTGCTGTTCCTTAGGGAATGTAAGAGAAAGAGACGATACTTGGGAATTAACAAAAACAATAATTTTCCTGGAGGGAGTTGTAAGTAAATGAGAAAGAGCCTGTCATTCAGGAGGAAGTGGTGACTAATTTTTGGACTGCCGGTGGAAAGAAGTACTTACAGTATCTCTTTACACATGGTACACTTATTGTTGTACGACTTGCCAGCAGCGTCACGTACAGGATCATGCTCCCGAGTACAACTGAGTTTTCCATTTTGCGTTTTGTCCCGATACCCTGCGCATTGGTCCTGAAAAAGGAGAGGAGAGTAGGTCTCCGGATTACCTGATCTCTTGTATTGCTGTTAAGTTTAACAAACTTAACTCAAAACAATTTGAGTAAGGAAAGTTCTGATTTACCTCCTCTTATATATAACACCTAGTACTGCTATCTACAGAGAAAGGGGGACTGGAATCACCCATATTCTAAGACGTCAGTTGTCATGGATAATAATATTGCTTTTAAGGTTCTACACAGGGAAATTATCAAACTCGCTGGGATTTAACAGCATGAAGGGTCAGCAAACTATAGCCTACAGGACTAATCTGTCCTGCTGCCTGTTTTTATATATGGGGTTTTATAAATAAAACTTGAAACACACCCTCACTCATTCAGGTATTATGGCTGCTTTCTGACAACAATGGCAGAACTGAACAAAAGCAACAGAGACTATAGGACTCAGAATGTCTAAAATATTTGCTATCTGGCCTTTACAGAAAAGAGAAGTTGCTGACATCTGGTGTAGATCAAAGGGAGAAAGAAATGTTGGAGGGAAATATAAAGTTATGCAAGATGCCAAGGAAAAGAGGCTTGAGCGAACTGTGGAGCCGAGAGACAAAGGGCCTTACCAGCTCTCGCCCTTGAGAGTGAGGATGTAGCCTCCTTACCGAGAAAGATGGAAAAACAGAATAGCCAGAATTTATCAACAGATGACAGATCTGGAGCAAAGAGATGGTCCTAATATACCAAGGTAGTAAGAAGAGAGCTCAAGTGGAGCCCGATGTGGGGCTGGATCCCAGGACCCTGAGATCATGAGTCGTCTTACGCAGTGGTGTTCACACGCTGGAGGAGGGGGTTTACAGGCAATTACTGTCATTCTGACCCTTCAAAATGTCTCAGGAAATGTGCTAAAAACTTGCCTAAATTATTTTATTTTCTCCCTGTAAGAGTGAATAAGGGAAACCAGAGTTCAGTGAGATGCTAATTTATTCCAAGCTGCCCAAGTCCTGCGCGGCAGGGGCAGGGTCGTACCCCCAACTATCTGGCTCTGAAAACCCTGCAGTTTCACCGTATTATGCTGCCTTGGATCCCAACAGAAAATCTGCCTCTAACCCGGGGCTCCACTGAGGGAAAGAGAGAACAATAAGAGAAAGGAGGAGCGTGAGATGCTGACGGGGAACGTCCCCATGGTGATGTCACTGTCTCTGCCGTGATCAGTTATTGGCCTGAGAGCTACATTCTGTAAAAAGGGGTCAGGAGACTCGGGTGACGTCATCATGTTAATTATTTCCTTGTTTAAAGAAGTAAAAAATGCGCCCTAGAGAGATGAAAAATTGCTGAGATACTACCCTACAGTTTCAAGGGGGGAGCTGCCCTGTCCTTCCAAGGACGTCTTCACACCCAGCATGACGTCCGTTCCCCTTTCCCACGGGTGCCCTTGTCCGTGACTTGTGTCCCCCCTGCCTGTGCAAATTAGAGGTTCTCTCACCTGAGCTTTCCCTCCTCTGCCACCACCACCGTGGGAACTATGCCCCGTCGCGTTTCTCTGACCTTCATCTTCTTTTCTCTTTCTTTCTTCATCTTCTTTCTGGCTGGAAATTAGAAAGGGGGAGATAGGGAATAATAGATTACAGAGAGTGGGGTGCGTTTCTGCGAGTTCCTCCTCCTGTGACCAAATTAGATTTGTATAGAATTCACCAGCATTTACGGAACAGCTACCACGTTGCAGGCCCTCTGAAAACAGAAAGACGAATTATGTGGAGTCCTTTTTTTTTTTTTTTTTTGAGTCCTTCTGCCTGGAAAAGCTCTCCCTGTTGTAGGGGAAAATCAAGTACGTAAACATAAGCAAGACCACGGGAGCGTTTTACTAGCCCTTCATAAATGCTCACTGTGACTCTCAGCTGGATTCTTCTCAAATACCTCAGAGCCAAGAGGTCCAACAATAATTATCTTTTTCCACCAAATGTGCCCTTGCTCCTGGACTCTCTACCTTCCATGAAGAACAAAACCCTGGAGCTATCTGCTCCTGCCTCTCAGCTCCCACGGCTGTTGCCGGCATGACACTAATTTCACATCTCACCTTCTCTCCTGTTTCTCTGACTCTAGTTATCGCTCCCAGATTCCTGCAAACCTCTTCTACCACCAGCAGCATTCCGAATCTCAGTCCTTTCCTTCTCTTTGTTCCCTTTGTACTGCCGACATACGAATCTTCCCAAAGGAACCATATTTATGCCACTTACTCTCCTACCTGAAAAATTTTAGCAGCTTCCCACGATATACAGGATTGACTTCAAAGTCCTTGATCTGGCATTCAAACCCAGCAAAGTGGCTAAGTTCTAACGAAACTAAATGACTTGCTCTTTACTGTTGACACGGTTTCCTTACCTCTAGAGCTTTACCTATGCTTTTTCCTTCTTCTCCTCTCATTTCTTCCTGTTCACATCTTATCCAAATTATAAAGTCCAGTTCTACTCCCCCATAAAACTTCCTATAAACTCTCCTTTCCCTGAAGTACTAGAACCCATTGAATACATCATTTATCATTTAGCAAATTCCTCCTTCGTATTTTTTTAAAGCTTTATTTATTTATTTTAGATAGAGAGCAGGGGGAAGGGCAGAGGAAGGAGGAGAGAAGCAGACTCCCCACTGAGTGTGGAGCCCGATGTGGGGCTGGATCCCAGGACCCTGAGATTATGACCTGAGCCGAAACCAAGAGTCAGACACTTAACTGACTGAGTCACCCAGGCTCCTATCCTCCTTCCTATTATATGAACTTGTACCCATGTCTATTTCATCCATCTATGTACAATCATTATTCACACTGTACATTGTAGATGTTCAATAAATGGCTATTGAATGACTGAAATATTTTATGTGTACTTCTGAGCTTTCTGTAAAGAACTATTTTTCATTTTGTGAAAAATGTGATATTTTCAAAAACGTAGGTAGAAAAGTTAGGCTGATAGTAAAATATGTTTATCTTCCCAGAGGTATTTAAAAGATGATGTAGAGAAGGGATCCATCAGACAGCAAAGGACTTAAAATTTTACCAAGAAAGATGTTGTGATCTATTAATAGGTGGGCTCTCCTCCAGAATTTATAGAGAATGTAATACCCTAGTCATATATTGTCTATTTCTAGAATTGTGAATCTTGGTCTTTATAAAGAAAGATTTGCCTGAAAACGCTCTGCAGAGAATCATTTGCTCCCTTTACATGTAAAGAAAGGACAAACACAATAGACATTATCTTCCTGGCTCTCTGTCTCCCCAGCTCTGTCAACCCCCGGCAGGGGCCTCATTTGTGCACTCACAAGACAGCTTTACACATGGCACACTTGTTCCCGTGGGTCTTGCCATCTGGGCCACGCACGGGATCATTTTCTCGTGTGCAGAAAAGATTTCCATTTTGCAAAAGGCTCCGAAATTCACTGCATGTATCCTAAAGGAGGAGAAAAGGCAAGAGCGTGGGTATTTTCGTATAAATTACTTTGTTGGATTCCTTCCAAGTGCTTCCTAGTAAAACAGGAACAGAAAATGACCTCTGGGTATTTTTCTTCCTGGCAATTGTTTCATTCAATTCCTACTAAACACACATGACTTAAAAAGAAGATTCTCTTTCTTTTTCCTTGAGATTTAGCCCCCAAATCCAGACTGAATCTGCATCCACACATAAGAAAGAATCCCTTAATAACCTGGGTTCTTGGAGAACTGGCCGCTCATCTTTGATGGGGGCAAGCAAATGACCACAAACCTGAAAAAAATCTACTTGGAATCAACCTTTTTGAAACGAAGAAAATATTATCCTAGAATATTCTAGTGTGCCCAATGTACTATTTTTATTTTCCCCAAAATGCTGGCACCAGAAATAATTAAAGACAAAGTGAGGAACATAACTGATGTGACCCAATGTGGTCATTCAAAACGACATAGTGGGTTAGGAATTACGCTAGATTTGGTGACTGGAGGTCTAGGTTTGAACTCTTTTGTTTTCATTTTTCAATTGTGAGAACTCTGAAATACGAAGATGTGGAATCTGATGCCGATAGTCCCACTGCAACTTCTTCCTTCTCTCTGGGTTTTAAATCTTCCATTTAAAAACACAGGAATGAGGTAGATCAGATGTTTGCAAACTATGGCCTGTAAGCAAACTCTGGCCCACCACCTAGTTTTGTAAATAAAGTCTTCTTGGAACACATCCATGCCCATTTATCTGCATATTACCTGTGGCTGCTTTTACAGCTGTGACAATAGTGTTGGGACAGAGACCGAACGGCCACAACCATTCAAATGTCTACTATTTGGTCCTTTAAGAAAATTCTATCAATTCCTAGATTAGATGAACCTTGAGTTCTCTTACATAGGCTTTTGGTAGTTCCATGTGTTGTTGTTTTTTTTTACAGAGAAACTGCAAAACCTCATCCTTCACTGTGATATTAACCTTCTAGGACAACTACCTTTTCAGCTTCTCTCTTAGCTTTTGTTCTGGATTCAGCTTCTTCTTTTTCTTTTGCTTCTTGCTGGCTGTAGGAGGGGGAGAGGGGAGAATCATTCCTAGCACCCAGTACCTATTATTCTAAAGGGGAAATCTCTCTAGATAGAAATATCTCATTATTTCCATACTTCCACAAACTGAGTTTGGGAGTAGAAAGCTAAATGCACTGCTCTCCATATTGTTTTTTGTTTTTAACTTTGCTTAAAGCATAAGACACAAGCGTCATAGCAAACCAATCAACAAATTTTTAGCACTACGTTCTTCTGGAAAATAAAGATATTGTGCTTTTTCCCAGAAAGCAATGAGGATGCTTGAAAATATTTACTAGATGTTAGCAAATGTTCAATTTGGTAGTGCCCAGTGATCACATCTTTGGATTATTCATGGTAGTATGTATGTAGAGAACAGGTATCCCAGTCCTTGTATGCCATTAACTCTGGGGGAATCTGTTGTGAGCATATGGTCCTCCCTGGAGCAAATTCAAGGACATTTTCAAACACTAAGAATACCTCAAAGAAATGTGCAAAGTATATGGCTTTATAACTGTAAATCCTTGAACTCCATGCAAAGATAGCTTCCATAGCGACTTCCTAGAGAAAACCTTCGGTATGATGTCCCTTGCCTGCCGCAGGCCTATTTTCTCCACACTCAGCAGCAGTGGCTGTGGCTCTACTCACAAGAAGGCCTCACACATGGAGCAGGTGTTGCCATGCATTTTCCCATCTGGGCCTTCAACGGGGTCGTTCTCTTTGGTGCAGGGGAGTCGACCATTTCTCACAGAGTTACGGTATTCACGGCACAGCTCCTGTCAAGTTAGGGTGGATTTAAGAATCAGGTAACTAAATATCGGAGAACTCTTCCACATTACCCCTCTGAAAACTATGATAGAATGCTCCCAAACATAACGGATACATCAAAATGGTGATGTAGGAGGTCAATGTTACCAAGATACTCTTCAGGGGCCTAGCTCACACGTTATCTGGAAAATAAGATTACGTTACTGATCTCATTAGAAAACCTTCAATTCAACTCAAATATTATTCTGGGTTAGGTACTGTAAGATATATGAAGAAGAATCATCTATTGTTCCTTTTGTAAAAAAAAAAATTGTGATTGGCAGAATAAAACTCCTACCCCCCAAATTTGTCCAAGTCCTAATATCCAGATCCTGTGACTATATTACCTTACAGGGTAAAAGGGACTTTGCAGATATAATTAAGTTAAGAACCTCGAGATGGGGAGATTCTCCTGGATTCTCCTATGTCCCCAATGTAACTGCAGGGGTCAGTCCTTACAATTGGAAGAGTGAGACAGGAGGGAATGAGAGGGCATTATGACTGCAGAAGAACAGTCAGAGACATGATGTTGTTGGCTTTAAGATGATGGAAGGGGTCCAAGGGCTGAGGAGCCCGATGGCTTCTAGAAGTGAGAAAAAGCAAAGAGAAATTCTCCCCTATAGATTCCAGAAAGGAACACAGCCCTACCAACCCTTTGATTTAGCTCAGTGAGACCCAGGTCAGACTTCTAATATAAAAACCAAAGATAGTAAGTTTGTGTTGCTTTAGGCCACCAGGTTTGTGGTATCTGTTAGAGCAACCATAAAAACCAAGTACAGAGTATTTAGAGTCTTTGGAGAAAGTGCATAGCAGTATCTATAAGTTAGAATAAAACAAATGATATAATTGAGGAATAAAGGAAAATTGCTGGCATAATAGATGACAGAGTTATTAAGTATATTGTATAAATGGGGAAAATCTGTGGAGAGCAGCTAATACTTATTCTGAGCCATGAAAAGTGGCCAGAATTTTGACAGAAGAAAGGGATAGTCAGGTCTGAGTATGAGGGGACCATACAGAAAGTAAAGTTCATTGCATGTATAATACTGAAGACTTAAGGCATGTGAGGGGCTGTGCTGATATACATGGATAAGTTTCTCAGGACTTCATAAAAATAATATACATAATAATATTTTATAAGTGAAGAAAGTAAGACACAAAACTGTCTGCCTTACTGGAAGGGAGACACAGGCAGTATTTGAGCCCTGGCAGTGTGAGTCCAGAGTTCAAGTTTTCAACCATAATGTGACTGAGTCCCTAAGATGGGATACCTTGAATCAATGCTTGGAGTGTCCAAGAAGCACAAGGCAGCACAAGGATGGCAATGGGTAGAAAGTAGGAAATGAGGTCTGCGAGGTGGCAGAGGTCAGATCACTCATGGCATTGTAAGCCACTAGAAGGACCTGGTTTCTTACTCTGCGTGAGATGAGAAGCCACTGGGTGGCATAACCTCCCTTATGTTTTTAAATAACTACTTTGGTTTCTGAGTTGAGGGTAGATTGTAGGGAACAAAGGTGAGAGCAGGGAGAACAGTAAGAAGTCAGGTCTTCCAAATTATAAAAGGATACAGGAGAGAAGAAATGAAGACCTGAGGCGTGCCCTGTAGGAATCTTACAAATGGTGACAGGGTGCAAGATCTAAGGTGTATCATGGGCATTATAGCCAGAACTTGTGTTCTAATTGCTAGCTCTCAAATTATTAACTATATATATCTCCTAACTTCTTATCTGAGCCTCTGAGTCCTCTTCTATAAAATACAGACAATAATACATACCTTGAGTGGTTACTACAAAGATCAGTCCTAAAATTGCTATACTATATGGCATATAGCAGCAACTAAATAATTAATAGCCATCAACATCATCATCATCATCATCATGTGAGAATGTAAACCCAAGGTTCAAAAATGCTGTTAAGTAATTTTCCCAAAATCTCACAGAAAATTAATTGGGATTAAAACTTAGATTTGTTTGTTTGTTTTATTTTACTTGTTTTGAACTAATCATCCTTATATAAAAAGATACAGAGAAAAATCTGAAATCTGCCTCTATTGGTTTGTATTCAGATAACAAGATAGCCACCTGTATACACTTCTTTTTTTGGGATAATACAATTCACATGGTCAGTGGAGAAAATGATGACTGACCTCTTCTCAAATGCACAAGCAACTAAATCAGATTTGGTGTGGATGGGAAGAAGGAATCCTCTTATACACAAGGATCCAAATACATGTTCCCAGTCTGCAAAGTCACTAAGGACACTGGGATGAGGAGGTGGGAGTGGGAGGCTTGTCCAGGGGAATGGAATATTTATGTGGTTCTAATATCTAAAACAGTTACCTGTGCTGCTTCTCTTCTCACTTTATCAGCCTGTGCTTTGTCCTTTCCTTCCTTGCCATTATTTTTCTTCTCTTCTTCTTCTTCAAGTTTGCTGCAATTAAAAACAAAGAAGATACAAGCTAAGTACAATTTCCCATTGTCTATGATAATGTATTTTAAAAAGAGATGAGGATCTTCCAGACAAGGTCAGATTCACTCTTCAGTAAAAATTTATCCAGTCTAAGAGATACTATCACTGTGCCCAACAATGCAGATAATAAACAAAATAATAATAAAATACAATCCACCTTAAAAAAAAACCTAGCATGATCTTTTATCAGTATGAGACCCTCAAGTAGTCTTGATTCCATCAGTCTTATCCCATCAATCAGTGATTTCAATGATCTGAAAGAAGCCACAGTTACCTTGATTTTTTAAAATTGTGCAACTTTTCCTTTGTAAATAACAACCATATCAGTGATGAAAGCCAGAGGTGATACCAAGTCAGACAATGGGCCCATAGTAAAAATAAACCATGTTTCACTATAAAATTATTTTTTTAGATATTATTTTAAGGGAATTAATATTCAGGTTGAAGTTCAAGTTTTAGAATAATGATCCAAGTCCAATAAGATTCAACAATGAATATTTTAGGTTGATCATGAGCCTAAGCTTCTGGCTTTCTTGCTATTTTCTACTGATACACAGTTTATCAAAGCTGGAAAATCTGTAGCACTGATCACATCCCATCTAGTCATCAGCACAGCATGGACCATGGATCAAGTGAGAAAAGAGCCTTGATTTCCTGACTCTCAGGCCACTGTGTACACTACTGGCTTAGTCTGTCAGTCTCTCCTTCAAGGAACTATGTGCATATACCTGAGATTGGACAAGGACATATGAAAGTTAAGGGACAACAATAGCCTTGCACCTTTTCAACAGATATTATTTAAACATCTACTAGCAAGAGACTCTGTAGAGGATTAGGAATCTAAGAAGGAGGAGAACCTGAGGAGGTAATAATCAATTTCTCCTAGACTGTCTCACACAATGGAGCTTTGGTTCCACTCACCAAAACAATGGCCTAAAAGTCCCTGGATTAGGCTCACAAGAAGACATTTCAATAAACATCTAATGTATGGGCTCACCTCTTAGAGGTTTTACTCTCTATACTAAACCACTTATCAAAGTGTTATTTCAGCTGTGCACAGTAATGTCCCTGAAGGGATAAATGCAACCTTCTCCATTCCTTTTCTCATTCAGGTTATTTTAACACTTCTTGTACTGGCCTCATAAACTTCTGTCCAACTGGTTTTCTCTTAGCCAATAGCTGAATATATTCACAGAATCATAAAATGTCAGTGGGGGAGAGAGAGAGAGACAAAGATATCACTGCATCCAGATCATCAAACTTCTGTTTTCAGTTATGAATGATGATTATCTAGTGTTAAAAATATAAATTAAGACTTTCCCATGACAGGCGCCTGGGTGGCTCAGTTGGTTAAGCGACTGCCTTCGGCTCAGGTCATGATCCTGGAGTCCCGGGATCGAGTCCCGCATCGGGCTCCCTGCTCAGCAGGGAGTCTGCTTCTCCCTCTCCCACTCCCTGTTTGTGTTCCCTCTCTCGCTGTGTCTTTCTCTGTCAAATAAATAAATAAAATCTTTAAAAAAAAAAAAAAAGACTTTCCCATGACTTAACTAGAGGATAGAAGGATAACTGGATAGAAGGCGCCTGGGTGGCTCAGATGGTTAAGCATCTGCCTTCGGCTCAGGTCATGATCCCGGGGTCCTGGGATCGAGTCCCACATCGGGCTCCCTGCTCCTTGGGGAGCCTGTTTCTCCCTCTGCCTCTGCCTCTGCCTCTCTCTCTCTGTCTCTCATGAGTAAATAAATAAAATATTTTTAAAAATTTTAAAAAAAGGATAACTGGATAGACAATCACATTGTCACTGTATGATTCATTATTACTTCATGAACTGTCCATGTGCTTTTAAACTTATGTAGCATACAAGCATGATATATAGTCTACACATTTCTAGGAAACTGAGACTCAAACGTGATTGATGATGAGACATTCAGTGGGACAGGTGAGGGTAGGTACTCACAATAGGCTTGCACACATGGCACACCTGTTGCTGTGCATTTTGCCATCAGGGCCGCGGACAGGGTCATTCTCCCTGGTGCATATAAGCATTCCATTCTTCACTTGGTTCCGAAATTCACTGCAGAGCTCCTGGAAAATATTTTCTCAGAATGACTGTCTACCCTTCCTGCACCTTTGCTTCTTCTGAGGAATAAGTGATGCGGAGTAGAAGAAAAACAAAAAGGGATGACAGGGAGCAGTAAATCGATAGGTATTTACAAAGCTTCCATCATGGACTCAGAATTGTCGTTGCACTAGAGTGGATCTGGAAATATTTATCATCATCATTCCCCCGAGGCTGCTTCCACTCTAGGTGCAGAAGAAGACTGACAAAGTTAGCAGAGAACAATATACATGTTTGTGTTATGTTACATATCACACTCTATAAGAGCTATGAAAGATCGAAGGGGAGAGAGTTCAATGGACCTAGAAGAGGAGGCTTCCTGGAGGAACTGAGAATATTGCTGAGTCTTCATGAGAAAGAAGGACATCCTGCCATCTGCAACTACTTGGATGAAACTAGAGGACACTGCTAAGTGAAATAAAGGAGACAGAAAAAAAATTATGGTATGATCTCACGCATATGTGGAATCTGAAAAAGCTGACCTCATAGAAACAGAAAGTAGAGTGGTGTTTGCCAGGGGCTGGGGGGTGGGGGAAATAGGGAGACGCTGGTCAAATGATATACATTTCCAGTTATAAGATGAATTAAGTTCTGGAGATCTGCTTTAGAGCATGGTTATTATAGCTAACAATGTAACAGTATACTATACAGTATACTTGAAAGTTGCTAAGAGAGTAGATCCTAAATGTTCTCACCACAAAAAGAAATGTATTTATGTCATAGTGTGATGTGATGGAAGTGTTAGGTAACGTTATGGGAGTATCATTTTACAATATATGTGTGTACCAAATCAAGACAATATACACAATGTTGAACTTACAGAATGTTGTATGTCAATTATATCTCAATAAAGCTGGAAAATTTAAAATAAGAAGAATGTGCAAAAAAATTGGTGAATCTCGATTTGTCTTTAGAAGGCTGAGAAAGAAAAGAAAAACATGCTCAAACTAAGAAATAAAGATATATTTGAAATAAAGATATGGAGGAGAGGACAAGTATGAGTCCTTAGAGAAACTGACGCCTTCCTGGGAGCTCCTTGATAAAGTAGAGGGATAGGGTATGCAGATTTCAAACAGGAGAGGTACAATATAAGCAGAGGGAAGGAGAAATGTGTTAAGACTGATTGGAAAATCTAAGATGATTTAGCAGCTAATCAGATATTATGGATAAAACAAGTGTTCAATTCTAAATTACCAGTAAAAAGATGGTTTCAACCAACAGAAAGAAAGTTCATGAGAAAGTGAGTTAGTTTAAAGGTAGACTTTTAAACTGTGTCAACTTTCCCCAAATAAGTATTTGGCTTATGCTTTGCATTTATTAGGTAATAACATCCATAAAGGCAAATCTTGTTTATGGCCGTCATATTAGAGTAATCCGACATCACATACAGACAGATTTTGTTGGTGTTACTTGTGACAACAGAAATATAAGAAAAGCCAAATATGGAGAATATGCCTTACAGAGTAAATTAATAACCCTCTCCTTCTTATAAAATGAAACTCAAAATTTGAATTATCATGCAATAAAATTGGTACTCTAGAAACTTCTACTTGAGACCCCTTTTTACAAGTGAAAGGCTTTTTGTTGTTGTTCATTTCAGGCATGGCAGTTGAAAAGGAAACCATTAGTGCTAATGAGATATCTAGAATACTTAAAGGAGAAAAAATTGTCAAGGCATAACATTAGCAGTCCTGAGAAAAATTACCTTTGTAGCTTCTCTTTTAGCCTTTGCTCTTGCTCTTTCTTCTTGCTGACTATAAGGATCAGGGGAAGAAAAAGAGGGGAAAAGAAGAAATGGGTCTTAATACAGTAGAGTAGATTCTTAACATTTACAGGTGGATCATTCGTTGCTTTGACAATTCTCAAGCACCCCCAAAGATCCACTCACAGCAATTTGAATTTTATTGGATAATAAACTGAAATTATTCACTTCACCTCAAGAGAATAGTGTGCAAGAAAAAGTCCCTTAATAAGTAAACCCATTTAGCTCCTCAGCAAGAACATTGCAGTAATACTTTCCTATTGGCTGATTATTTTGCATCTGCCACAGGTCTCGAGAAAGTGCTAATATTTGGCTTCTGGGAGGCAGTATAGCATGGTGTTTAAGAGGACAGAGTCCGGAGCCATAAGGAACACAAGAAATGTCTGAACCTCTCTGTGCCTTCCTCATCTTTAAATACGGAAGGGGAAGGGAGGGGCGGGAGGAGTAGTAACCACATTCTTCTCATAGGATTGTTGTGAGCATTAAATGAGTTGATACATGTAAAGCAACTAGAGGAAGGATCTGGTACATAATGAAATGATTGATAAAAGTGATATAAGTGATCGCTATCTTCATCACTGTGATTATCATTAAGAGTGAACCCTCCAAAAAAAAGGTATATGATGGAAATGAAGTGAGGGTGATAGCTCTTAACCATTTTTGATAACTAACAGTGTTGCGAATCAAGTGTAGCACAACTGGATCTATAATCTAAACAATTTAATCCTGTTAAATATGTAAAAAGTTTTCATTTTAAAATGTAAAAATGTGTAAATAATATGTAAAAATGTTATGTTTCAATCAACGTAAGAATTGCTCATTCATTGATCAAATTAAAACTTTTTTAAAAGGTGAGAAGATACCTGGGTGGCTCAGTCGGTAAGCGTCTGCCTTCGGCTCAGGTCATGATCCCAGGGTCCTGGGATCAAGCCCCGCATCGGGCTCCCTGCTCAGCGGGAGACCTGCTTCTCCCTCTCCCACTCCCCCTGCTTGTGTTCCCTCTCTCACTGCGTCTCTCTCTGTCAAGTAAATAAATAAAATCTTAAAAAAAAAGGTGAAAAGACAGGGCGCCTGGGTGGCTCAGTAGGTTAAGCGTCTGCCTTCAGCTAAGGTCATGATCTCCGGGCTCCTGGGATTGAGCCTCGGCAGGGAGTCTGCTTCTCTCTCTCCCTCTGCCCCTTCCCCCTGTTCATGCTCTCTCTCTCTCAAATGGATAAATAAAATATTTTTTTTTAAAAAAGGTGAAAAGACAGTTTGCATATGGTATGACAGTGTGCAAAAAAAGGCTATGGAGGGAAAAATCATTCTCAAAAAAAGACAAGAGCCTTTGCTAACATACCCACAAAATATGACACAGTAAATCTTTATTTCTTTTTGATAAGGAATTTTTACAGTGATGGGAGAAAATTACTAAAACAGCTCCAAAATTGTGAGGTTCCTCATACTTCTTTACATGGAAACTAATCTAAGCTTTACCATGAGTCTACGTTGACTAAAAATTTTAAGAAGCATTTTCTTTCCATACTGGGAACTTTTTCAGAGGAAGTAGCACAGCTGACCACTAGGTGGCAGAATTACCTCCTTGTCACTGAAAGATGAATGTCAAGGTAAAGAAAAACAGACAGAAACAAGCCTAACTTCAGGCAAATATAATTAATCACCAGAAGTTATAATGGCATTGCTAAATGATTATACTATGTCTACAGCATACAGTGGAAAACATAATTTTCTTCATTTTTTCCCCCTGCACTGATATTTCTATCATTCCCAACTTCTCTGGGCCTTTATGTTGTCATCTATAACTTGTGATAATACAAGAAAGACCCACTTCATATGTTTATTGTGAAGATTAAGTGGGATTAAGTAGCAAAGCTTTTAGCAAGTATATGACAATTACATGCATTCAATAAATGTTGGTTATGATGATTTGGTTTTTAGTGCTTCCATGCCCAAACACTAAAGGACAAATCTTCAGGGTTGAAATGCTCTCCACCAGGGAAGACTGAATGACTGAAACCTTTCAGAGATTCTGAGTATATAGAAAATCAACTGGAGTATCCCTTGGGAATAAGATCAAAAGCCTTAAGGAATGGGCGCCTGGGTGGCCCATTCTATGTCCCTAAAGCTCTCATCCATTTAATTCTACTCCATTAGGTCACACAGAGTAAGTAAGAAGAAAGGTAGTAAACTAAAACAAAACAAAAAAAAACCTTTCCCCTAAAATTTTCCATGCACCATAATGATATTTTATATGTAATCTCAGCCATTTCTTATTTTAGCTGATAATCCTTCAGAAAACTAAGAGCAATTCGTATGGTTATCATAGAGTAATCTCTTCTCTGAATAAAAGATCTTGAGTTACCTCTAAAATATTCTAAAAGAAAAGACAGTTAAAAGAACTCCAAAATAAAAAAAAAATATTATGGCTCTCTTTAGATCACAATAATCATCATCTGAAAGCTCTCCACTTGCTTTTTGGTTTTGTGTTTTCTTGTGTGTGGGTTTTTTTTTTTTTTTTTTAATTTTAGTTCATTTAAGTGTGACACCCAAAAATGACCATTGTTCTGAAGAGGAAAATGCATTATTTGCCATTGTTTGAAAACTTCCCTCAGTTCCTTCTCCCTCTCCTTCTAAAGTCCTGAGCTTTACTTACAAGAAGGCCTCACACATGGAGCAGGTGTTGCCATGCATTTTCCCATCTGGGCCCTTGATGGGGTCGTTCTCTCGAGTGCAGAGAAGCTGGCCATTCTTCCTTAATTTGCGGTAGTCACTGCATAATTCCTGTGAAATTGAGGAAGGAAGTTTGAGGTTTTGAACACAGGTTGGGTCAGACTGGAAAAATAGCTGAAGTTTAGACTTTTTTCTTAAGTGGGGATCAGTAATTGGCTTATTTTAGAATAGTTCTTAACTGGGAAGACATGACTATTTTTAAATGATAAAAGTTGCACAACCTCAACCTAGAAATAGTTACATATGCACATGGCTATGTGCTCACATATAAACAAACAAACTGTACAAATATTTCCTACAGTTTCAGGGGATTTAGGAGTTTCCTGAATGCCATCTATGGACCCCAGGTCCACATGCCTCTGACTTTTGGAGAAGTTCCCCTCACCTCAAAGGGAGCTGTGTTCTCAGATTCTCTCTTATTTCTTGACTCACTTTCCTTCTTTTTCTTTTCTTCTTCCTCTGTTTGGCTAAAAAAGAATGATTAAAAAGGAGATCAGTAAGGATCGTAGAATGTCCAGGTTGAAAGTGACCTCAAAAATAATTTAATTATGACAGTTAATACTTATTAAATTCTGGGGTGCCAGGTTGGCTCAGTCAGTTAAACGTCTGCCTTCAGCTCAGGTCATGATCCTAGGGTCCTGGGATCGAGCCCTACATTGGGCTCCCTGCTCCCTCTCCCTCTGCTCCTCACCACCTTCCTCCCCTGCTTGTGCTCACTCTCTCTCTTTAAAAAAACAAAAAAACAAAAAAACCAAAAAAAACCACCTTAACTAAATTCTTACTATGTGCCTGACCTGGGGCTTATTCCATGAAATCTTCCCAACTGCATGTTACAAAACTACTATTATAACCCCATTTACAAATGAGAAAACTGACAGAATGGATCACTTTCCCAAGGACACAGAACTAACAAATGTACACTACAGATTTAAATCCTAATCCAGAGGAAGTTTTTTGATCTTCCACTACTCATGACTTCTAATACTCAGTATGTCTGATTACTGTCCAGTTTTGCTTTAATCCGCTAGTAAATTCTCTACCTTGTATCATCCTTGAAACCCCACATAGGTCATTCTACCCTTGAAGTCCTCAGACTGTTAGGAAGTTGCTCCTGGCATTGAGCCAGACCCCTTCCAGAGCTTTCACTCATTGTTTCCACTTTCATCCACAGAGACAACCAGGAACTAGTATTGATAAAACAAAAGCTACTTGGGTATTTCAAGACCATGACTCCCCCTTTGCTAAATGTACCAAGCCTTACATGGTTTTTATCCTAAACATGCTTTTGCTTTCCTGCTGAAGTGGTCCTCTCATAATGGAACACAGAAATGAAGCAGAGAGTTAATCTGAACTCACTGCTTACATTTTCTAGAATCCCTTCCATAACAACAACAACTGTCTAGTAGAAGAGAGAGACGGTGAACATATAGTCAGACATATCAATCTACCCCTACTAACTGTGTTTTGTGCTACGAAGCAAAGTGCTGATCACCATGAAGGAGAAAGTGTGGGGTTAGGGACGTAGAGTAGGCTTTGCCACAGCTGTTCAACCTGTGTTCACGAGACACATGGGAGGGGTTCACTCCACCAGATACTCATCATTCCTATTCCAAGTCATTCCCCCAGGTCCTGTGTATGAATTAATGTACCGTTTTGCATATTTATATGTTTGCTTTGTGATGTGTTGTGTGATTTCAGGTGACTTCACAGCCCTCTCTGCAAGGGTAAGATCCTTGCTTTACATCCTGTACACTTCCACAGGAACTCAGCCAGTGATTGATAAGCAAGAATGATTCTTTGGAGTTCGTTAGGAGTAATGTCACCATGATGGCAACATAGGTGGTTCCTAACTTCCCTTCCCCTCACCAGAACAACCAGCCTCTAGTCATGACATGACTGAGAGAATCCTAGAACACGGGGACGAGGCTGAAGTACCCACAGCACCTCCGAGACCAAACCAGACTGCATGAGAAGGGTAAGAGAAGCAGCTGCTTGTGGACATCACTGCCCCTCTCTCAGGGCAGAGCAGGAATTATTCTTTGATAATTATGACATTGTGCAAAAATGCCATTGACAAGAATTAAACACAATTTAAGAAATAAAATATAACAACGTTAAAATTAAAAAAATACAAAATGAAGCAGAAAGGACAAAACGCTCCCTCATTTCCCCAGGTGCAGCGCTACTCACAAGAACACCTCACACATGGAGCAGGTGTTGCCATACATTTTCCCATCGGGGCCCTGGATGGGGTCGTTCTCTCGCGTGCGGGGGAGTTTTCCATTCCTCACAAGCTTGAGGTATTCACTGCACAGCTCCTGCCAGGATAGAGAAAGCAAGCTAGGGATACATTTTGTTCCTATTCCAAGCAGAAGATTGGAACATCAACATTGGCAGAAACTAATGTTATGCTTCTTTGACACCAGGACTTTAGTTGTGTTTCTCTCACATGTAAAATTTAATTTAACAAACAGAACTCACCATTTGCTAAGAGATGGGAACAAATAAGACATAATGGGATGTCACAATATAAGAAAAGAGGTGGACAAGTAAACTCCACTATAATCTAAACACACTGAAATAAGGGCAGGGGAGCCTGGGTGGCTCAGTCGATTAAGGGTGTGCCTTCAGCTCAGGTCATGGTCCCAAGGTTCTGGGATGGAGCCCCAGGTCAGGCTCCCGGCTCAGTGGGGAGCCTGTTTCTCCCTCTCCCTCTGCCCCTCCGCCTGCTCATGTTCTCTCTCCCGTGCTCTCCTTCTCTCTCGCAAATAAACAAAATCTTAAAAAAATTTTTGGAGGAATAAAATAAGTGCAAACATACAGGTACAAGAAAATCTGAGAACATAGAGGTTGGGACCATGAGATTTGACTGTGAAAACCAGGGAAGATGTCACATAACAAGAATAATTTGAGTGAGACTGAAGAGTAAACAGCATTTTCATGGATAAGAAGGGGATTGGGGAATATGCATACGAGACCATTAAGTTGGGAAATAAAGTAGGAAACCACACGGGCATATAGCAGAACATAAATTTCTGAATGAAGGTAAGCCAAATAAGAAGGGAGATAAGGAGATTGAATTATATCCTATAGTTTATGATGAGCCATTTGTGGCTTTTAAGCAGAACGGTATTGCGATCTGATTAATATTGTGAAGCTTTACTCTAGCTCTGTTAGGGAGCATAGTTGGATAACGGAAAGAATAGAACCTAGCGGGAAAAGTAGAAGACTTTCGTCTTCTAAACAATAAGCAGTAACAACTTATAGAAGGCTATGGAAACAAATATTGTAACATTTCAGAGCTAAAAAGCAGGCTTTCTGTGTGCAGAATGAAGGTATTTTTATCCCAATTCAAATGTGAAATTTCAAAAATTCATATGTAGAAAATATATGGGAATATATGGGAAGTGGTTTGCAAAAGCTAACACAGTTTGTAAGTGATGAAACCAGTGCTAGAACCCAGTTTTTTCAGACTTCAAATAATTTTTACTCCACAGGGTTAGTCTTGGAAGCAGCAAGCACTGATCAAGTTCCCATAGGATTCATCTCAGTGTCATCTCCAGATTAAAGGGTTAGGATTTCCTGGCAATTTTTTTACTGGAAAATATTCCACCCTTTAGACTCTGAAACATGTTCAAGTTAGAATGCCAAGTAGGACTCAACGGGTGGATTCCACTCACTCCACATAAGGGTGTTTTTTCAGATTCTCTTTTATTTCTTGCTTCTGCTTCAGCCTTTTTCTTTTCCTCAGCTTCTGCTTGGCTAAATGAGAGAAAAAAAATGAGAAGAATCCATTGGACCAAGTACAGGCAATTATTTGTCCACATTCTTGCATTGCTAATCTGTCCTCCCTCCTTAGAAAGAGCAATTTTGTCCTTTTATCACTACATACCAATGAGAAGCAACAAAACAGCCTCCAGTATGGTAAGATACCATAACTTCTTTATACTTTTTGCTTAACATTGAAAGAAAGACAGTGATTGTGGATCTGGAAAGCTTGCTTTCTATAAAATACCTTTCTTGCCTGTGATCAAAAAAGAAATACCATCAATGTCCATCAAGGAGATATCAAAACTAGTACCCTTGTAACGTTATACCTGGAGACTGAAAGTGGCCTTTACAAAGCACACTGACTGGTTCCCTTGTCTGAGGCAGAGAGGGCTTTGGCTATACTTTTAGGACAGGACTACAATTAACCAAGGTCCCTTCTCTCAAGTCTATAGTCTATCACATCATGGACACCCTAGCTTTATTAATTAATGTATTGCTTACTCATGGCTGCGTTATCTAAAGACAAAATAGAGTGCAGGTGGAAAAAGGCCAATAATTTCCATACATTGATAAACCAAATGAGCCTATATTTGCTTTGCACAATAGAATTGCATGGTATGTATGGTTAACTGATGCTATTTCAACCACACAAGGCTATCAATCAAAACAAAAGACCATAGGTTCAAAATGTAAATCAACTACTTAATCTGAGTTCAATCAAATAAACTGGGAGTAGTTCCAAATTTTGAAAGCAAACTGTCAATTCTAACTTATTGAGAAATGTCACATTATATAAAGTAATATTTAATTTTGTAAGCGTTCATGATTATTTGATGGGCAACATTAACTCTAATAATCAATATCTGCATTAAGTGCTTACTTTGGGTCCTAACCTCTTTGGAAGATGAGATGCCTATAAACTTGTACCACAGGTTCATATATGAAGCTTCAGCAGTATGGACAATGTGATATTTGCACAAGCTCAAGGCTGTCAGGATGTTCCAGTGGTAAGAGAATGAGTGTCAAGGAAGCAGACATATTGGAGTAAATAGCTCTAGGTCCTTCTCCCAGCTCTCTTGCTAACATTCTCAATGTAAGTATTCAACTTATTCAACTCCCTTCCCTATTTTGAGCCCCAGTTTCCCCACTTATGGAAGTAGCTAGTTCTATTAGACTCTCTGTAAGGTCCTTTCTCTTTGGCATTCTTTAGACACTCTGACATTCCATACTCACTAGAAGGCTTGACACATGGAACACAAGTTTCCATGCATTTTCCCATCTGGACCACGAACAGGGTCATTTTCTCTGGTACAGAAAAGTATTCCATTCTTTGCACGATCCTGATATTCACTGCAGAGTTTCTAAATAATGAAAATGAGACAGTTTAGATATAGTTATCTATTCTGTTTATTCATTTTATTTTTTAAAAGATTTTATTTATTTATTTGAGAGAGACAGAGAGAGTATGAGAGTGAGTTGGGAGGGGAAGAGCAGAGGGAGAGAGAGAGAATCTCAAGCAGACTCCATGCTGAGTGTGGGGCCCAACGCAGGGCTCGATCTCACGACCCTGAGATCAGGACCTGAGCCAAAATCAAGAGTCGGATGCTTAACCAACTGAGCCACCCACGGCGCCCTCTGTTTATACATTTTAGATGCTGTTAATTAAAGATATCAAAGAAAAGGAACTAAGGATAAAAAATAAAACTTATAGGATTTAGGATCATCCCAAAATTTTGTGATATTTCTCTCCATGTAATAGTTACCCATTTAAGTATTCAGCAAATGTATTAAGGGGATATGACTATAAATGTGATTTAGCTCTTTTATCACTCAAGTGGACAGGATAAGGAATTGCAATATAAAAAGCTGAGAGATATGACACAGGTCTGAGTTAAATTTGTACAAGCACAAAGGGAAGAATGATTTATGGAAGTACAGAGAAGAGTTTATAGCTGAGGTCTCTATCTTTAGGATGTGTCCAGGTAAACAATATGGCAAAAAGGTCCTCCAGGAGGAATTACAACTTATATGCAAAGACAGAGGGACATAAAAGACCATGTTATCTTGAGATCATCTATTATTGTCAGGAAGAATTAGCTGGATAAAGAGAGGAAGGTTTGGGAAGGGGTCAAAAAGGAGACCTTGAAGATTAAGTCAAAACTAGATCACTGAACCTAGAAGGGAATTTGGACTTTATTCTTAGGAAATTGGAAAATGATAAATATTTATAGAAGAGAAGAACATAAGCAAATCTGTTTTAGAAAGACCACCCAGCCAGCCAGATATGTGGGGATTTGAGTGACTGGAGACTGAAGTTTGAGAAACTATAGGAGAAAATAAGGAAAGGAAGGGAGGGAGGAAGAAAGGAAGGGTGAAGGGAAGGAAGGAAAGAGAACAAGGAAGACAAAGAGGAAGGAATAAAACCGGAAATGAAAGATAAAAGGATTGTTTTGATTTCAGAAATAAAATTAAAGGATTGAAGAGAAGACATCAGTTGAAAGTGAGGCTTAGACATTACGATGGAATTACATGAAGTCAGCTGCTTTATGAAACTGTGAACTACACACTACAGAAGGTGGGCGAACACTCACTGTTAAAAATAAGTTACATAGGAGTGAAATGGTCCAAATAGCCTCTAGGATACCCTCAAACGTTGGCTTTTCCTAAGGCCACCGAGTCATGGAAATATTTCCCACTCAAACAGTGTGGAAGATGAATTGAATCTTGAGGACTGAGAAAGCTGTTGGCGAGAAGCACAGAGGCCAGGCAGGATGCTAACGCATCAACACAAAGGAAATCTATGAGAAGTATGAGCTAAGTTGGTAGCAGGAGAAAAAAAAAAACACAAATGACTAGTTAAGAGATGTGTGGAAAGTAGAATGTGGTACGATTTTAAAGGGAGAGTATTAAAATGATACATAGAAGACCTCCAAAACAGCTACCACACATATTAAACTTTGAATTCAGATGATGCTTTGATATATTACCTTTGTTTAGGAACTATTCTACTAATATGACTTGATTAATTTTCTCCAAATAGCGCTAAAAATTGTAATGTTGTAATTATTCTTCTAAATCTTATGAAATAGTAACTATAAACTGCTTTCCAGAAAATCCATCAGTAATGAAGGAAAAACGAACCAATATCGAAAAAGCATTGTAGAGTAAAATGCACACACATCCCACAAAAGTCATAACTAAATTGATCAAACTAATCATCACCTCAATTTCTCTCTTAACTTTGACTTTTTCTTCAGTCTTCCTTAGGTTTTCATGTGCTTTATTTTTTTCTTCTGAAAAACGCTGTTTGCTGGAGAAAAAAAACCCAAAAATGAATACATGAATACAGATGCTTCAAATCCTCATGTTATAAAATAGTCATTTAGGGGGCTCCTGGGTGGCTCAGTCGGTAAGCGTCTGCCTTCAGCTCAGGTCATGATCCTAGGGTCCTGGGATCGAGCCCCACGTGGGGCTCCCTTCTCTGCCTAGCAGGGAGTCAGCTTCTCCCTTTCCCTCTGCCCCTCCCCCTCTACTTGTGCTTTCTCTCTCACTCTCTCTTTCAAATAAATAAATAAAATTTTTAAAAAATAAGTCATTTAGGTGCAGGTGGAAAAACAGCTATGTGTTTATGAGTTCTAGAACAAACATTTTCCAATCATCTTAAGGCTCCTTATTAGATGGAAATCTTCACTCTTTCTCCAAAGAATCCCTTTTTTTTGCCTTCATGTATAACATTTCCTTCCACAGCAATGACTGTTTTTGTCATCTTGCCTTCTTTTAAATCTTCTCTGCTTAAATTCTGCCTTCTTTAAGAAGACAGTCCAGACCTCAAAGTGGAAATGAACTGTATATCCGTCATTGTATCTTCATAGCTGAATATTCTCTTACGGGATAGTTCTTACTCTGTCTTGCAACGTGTTTGTGTGTGTGTGTGTCCATGGCTTATTTCTGCTATTTAACTTTAAGCTTCTTGAGAGCAGGGATCTTCATTCATACATTCATTCAACATTTGGCTAGTAACTATTCTTTGTCAAGCGCTGGCCTGCTGCTATATATATAAGACAGACACATACACTGTGTTCCTGGAACTTAGAACCCAGTCAACAAATAGTCATAGCAATAATTACCAGCTGTGATGATTGCTATGAAATAAAATTATTAAGAGTTATAAAGATTGATTTCAATTAAGAATTTCAGGAGGTCTTATCCAAAGAAGGGTAATCTTGAAATGTGATCCACAGAAGAAGAGACACTAGCTGGCCAAGATTGAGACAAACTGGCAGCAGGACAGCATAAAGGGGAGAGCTTCAAGAGTTCAAGGATCTGAAAGAGTGACAAGACCTGGTCTGAGACATCTTCGTAAATGCTGTAATTTACATGTTGTGGGATTTGTGCTTCCCCCCCGGGTCAGATGCCCGAGATGAAAAGATAAAGTTAATCCAAGTCACATATAAACATAAAGTTTTTGTGGGCGACAACATCTGTTTTGTCACAATGGGATAATTACTGAAGGAAACAGTCTAAGTCTTGATACTTGCTTTTACCCTCATTCTGTATTATGACTATCTTGTAAAAAGGCTTACAAAGGTGGTGGGAGGAAATATTAAGAAGTGTTTTGTAATCCAGTCCTCTAACTGGAAAATAGAATCCATTTGTACTCAGAAACAGACATACATATTAGGATCTACTTACTAGGTGATATCATGGTTTGTAGAGGACAGAAAACTGCTCAAAAATTTTCAACAACAAAGCAGCACCTCAACATTATTCTTACCATTCCCATCAATCTCCACTTTACCTGTCCCATACCTCCAAAGAACCCACACCTGTACTCACAAAATTTCAGCACACAGGGCACATTTGTTGCCATGCATCCTGCCATCAGGGCCACGAATTGGGTCACTCTCCCGTGTACAATAAAGTCTTCCATTCCTCACTTGGGTTTCATATTCTTTACAAAAATCCTGCAAAAAGGTAAGTAATTACATTTAGCACTTCTCTACTCTTTAACATAGAAAATACATATCATGGATTTATAGCCAAAGAATATCAGGTCTAGAAGGTGTTGGTAAACATATAACATATTAATGAGGATTAATGAGAAATAGTAATTATGTTATGAAATTACTACATACCTGTATCTACTATGTGGTATATTTATTAAAAGATAAAATAGCGGTGGGGCACCTGGGTGGCTTAGTCAGTTAAGTGGCCAACTCCTGGTTTGGCTCTGGTCATGATCTCAGGGTCTTGAGATCAAGTCCCCCTTGGGGGGGGGGTCTGCACTCAGCGGGGAGTCTGCTTCTCTCTCTCTCTCTACCCCTCCCCCCACTTGCACACGCACTCTCTCTCTAAAATAAATAAATAAATCTTTAAAAAAAGGTAAAAGAGCCTTATAAAAAATAAGGCTGAGCAAATATCTCATAAAACTAGATAGCTCTTATTAACTTTCAAGTCTATGAAAAAAAGATTGCAAAAAATAAAAGATCTTTCAACGAATCCCAAGATAGACATAACAAAATGCAGCTGCCAGGACAAAAGAAAAAAATTGCCAACAAGCAGGCTAGAGAATCTGTAAGATGAGATGCTTAAACACTATTTAATATGGATCAAATCAAGAACAATCTGGTTTGGTTTGCAAGGAAAATGAATAAGGTGGCATCCATTGTCCTCTCTGTGACTCTGTGGCCTTTACTGTTGTTCACTTTTATGTGCTCTGCCTCGTTTATGGATGTCCATTTCTAATACAGTAGGTGGAAAGCACAGAGGGTGAATCTAATTTTCCTTCACTCCCCACTGGAGATAGGTAAAACACCAAGACTAAAATTTCAATTTCAATTTCAAAGGCTGTGACTTCCCCAAATAACCCAAGAAAGGTTTGTATCCAGATTTCCCAATGCTTTGGTTTAGTACTTTCGGATTTTTCTCTGTGTCTGGAAAATTCTACTATCTGAAGTGAAGACTAAACTTCATATTTATAGCTATATTTATATCTCTATCTACCCCAAATTACTGTAAATTTAGGAAACTCTATGTCAATAAACATGTTTGGTAATGGCATATATTACTACATAACTTACAAAACACAACCTACAAAAAAATGCTTCTCTGAGCCTTTTTCAACAATGTGACCTTCATCTTCCATTTCAGCCAAGAAAACATGAGCATAAAGAGTATGGTTTGAAGTGGGAAGACCTGAGCAGCTAGACTATGCTTCTAACTCCTTGGGAGATCACAGCAAACACCCATTACCGTAGACACCTCTATCTTACCAACTACACAATGAAGTTTTTGGAATAATGCTCTTTAGGGCCTTTTCTAGATGTAATATTCTCAATGTTTAAAATGTAACTCATATTTCATTAGGATACTTTAAAAAAGAATCCTAATTGACTCCTAATAAGAAGGCATTTGTTTTTGGAGGAGCAGTGGGTGTGCTCCAAACTTCCTGGTTGTAACAATCTAGGAATAAAGACACGGAAGACAATCCCCTGATAATCATAGCATGGTAGGAAAATTACTGTTCAATGGTTCCCATAAAAGAAACAATGATAATTTCAGTTTATAAGTTGTGATTCATCTGAGGAGATTCTGAAGAAATGCTTTTGTGAGCAACCCACTGACGGGTTAATTATGGGGCAGATATTGAGCCATCACCATAAAGCAGTCGCATTCAACACAGTCACGTCCAGTGACCCCACCAAAACAATGACCCCAGCCACAGAGGAAAAGAGGGAAAAATAAACAAGACCTGATGATAGATAATGGAAAAGAACTGTCCATGTTTATGGAGTAATAAAATGCTCAATATTACAAGATGACCCAAAGGTTTTGACTGAAATTTAACAACCAAAAGAACTGCTTTTCAAATCTCAGTTAGTATTGAACAAATTACTGAGAACATGTTCCTTCATTGAAACTCTGTTGAACACCCTATTTAGGGTGGGAAATGTGCTTGATTGAATAGCATCATGAAGTAGAAGTTTAGTCCTTGACTACCAAAAACTAGACTTGTGTCCATCCTTAGGAAAACATATGCCCATCATCCACAAAAATAGTATACTTGTTGTGCTGTCTCTCCCAATTGGATGGGGCCCCCCAAATGTAGGGCGTCCGGATGGAGTGGGGGCTGGTGGCACGAGTAGTGAAAGAATTCACCCAAGGCAGAACAAAAGAGATAAAAGTTTGTTGGATACACTGCAAAAAAGGCCGGGAAGGATAGCAAAGTAAAGACTGTCTGCCACGAGGCAGTGGGCGAAGGCTGTATTTAAAGGGGGAAGGAGAGGAGGTGTGGGAATGTATGGAATTTTCCTTTTTTGGTACCTATGTCTGGGTGTAAGTAGCCCATTGGTTAGTTAGGGCTGATGGATATTTTGAGGTGGTCGCTTGATGGGCCTGTTTGTATTCAGCCAGTGAATACTGTACTCAGTATTCACTGTGGGCCCTTTTGCCTTGATCAAGTTTCCATTGTTCAAGCCTGTTGCCTTAAAAGAGGCCTTGACACTTGTATTAGCACTACAAGGTATAGGGTGTGGAATCACATTCCAACAAGAAGGTAAAAATGAGGTCCTTTATCCAACCTCCTTAATTCGGGACAAAGAAATTGAGGCCCAGAGAGAAGAGATGACTTGGTCAGTTTCACACAGCCAGAGCATAACAAAACTATGGGTAAAACTAAGTTGTTCTGACTTCTCAACAAAAAGCTAGTCATTTAGCAAAGTAACTGCTATCACTTAGAATGAAAGTAGGGTTTAATAACCTTGGTGATTTAGGGAATCCAAGCTGTATGACCTACAATGTTTATTCAATTACTAAAAGGAACAATTTTTCATACTAAACAAATCGTATAATAATTTGAAAAAACTTAATTTTAAGGGTACTTTAAAAACCACAACATCAATATTTGTTTGATACCTTTCTTTAAACAGAAGCTAGACCTTTATAAATGCAGACCTCATTGTAATAACCATAACAAATAACTCCAGTTTGTATCAATGAGATGATACATAAAATGCACCAGTGGATACACTGTTTAAAAGACTCTAGAATTATTTTAAAGTTATTCCTGTCTAATTTATATTATGTTGTATTAAAAAAAATTTATTCAAAGCAAAATTAATCTAAGCCAGAGAGAAGTCTGGTGGAAATGAAGCAGAATTTAATTTGCATATTTTCTGACTGATATTCTTTCTTTCCCTTTTTCTTAAAAATAGCATATTTTGAACTTTAGGTGGGAAATGCAATTTTAATCTAATGATTAATATACTTGAAATAGTCAACTTGGGGAAGTTTGAAATTAAGGGAAACAATTTATTGTAAAAATTAAGGACAATGACATTGACTTACCTCAAAGATTCAAGCTTAACTTTGTTAATACTTTGGCCACAAGATCAAATTATGTTGGTGAGGAATTTACCTTTTCGGCACTTCGTCGAATTCTGGTTTCACCTTCTCTTTTGGCGTTTTCTTGAGCTTCTTTTAAGCTGTTAAGAGAACAGTTGGTCAGTTTACGGCTCAATCATATTTTCAGTGTCCAGTCTGTGCTAGGCACTTTCATATCCTTGGCCATTGCTTGTTAAACCGATCCACTTAACATGAGACAAGCTTTTCCCCCGTCTCAAATTTGAGCCAGAAAATTGCCAAAGATAAGGAAGGGTGTGAAACTGACTCACTGACAGTCAATTAGAAGCTTTGTTCTGTAAAAGTAGATGGGTGTGACTCCTTGACTGACAAACAGAAGATTGTTGGGGAAAAGTCCCTTTAACTGGCAGAACCAAGAGCTTTTTAACACAATGCTGTGACAAGGGTGAAACCGAACTGAGCATTTGAAGTACTGCCATCCACACCCTTATGTAAAGCTTTTCTATACCTTGTAAAGTATTTGTTTGCCTTCATGTAAAATCACTGCAGTTAAAAAAAGTGACATTGAACTGAGCTTCTAAGTCCTCTCCTATCTATTACCTAATTACAGTCCCAACCGGAGACAGGCATTATTAGTTCTACAGAGGAAGAAACCAAGAGTTAGAGAAGTCAAATCTCTTTTTTAGCTAGTGTGTGAAAACAAACAGAAAGTCACAGAATTGGGGCATGTTGGAAAACTAAACCCACATGTCTCCTGATAAGAAAGTAGAAATTAGGCTTATTTCCTGTCTAGAAACCAGATATAATCACTGTTTTGTAAACCTGATAGGACGTGCCCTTGAATTCTCTGGCAGCACACTGTAATTTTCAAAGGCAGGTGTGAAATTTATTAATCTGTTAGATCTTTCTCTGTGATGATTTTAAAGATCCGTGGATGTAAATGGAGCACTTGAAAGCCTGCTGACATATAGAGAGTCTATATCTTGTTTAACAGCTAGAATATTAAAGACTCTTTGGATCTTCTTCACATCTCAGCCTCAATACTCACAGATGTCAGGCACTCAGAGAAAGTTAACCCTATCCTTCTCTTCCCTAAAGTTCCACCATTTATAGTAATAATGAAGGCAGCCACATGACATTATTATTATTATTACTTTAAATTAGATTGTCGCATTTAGTAAGAGTCTCTGTACATATACAAATGAAGCAATGCGCATCAAACGAATGACCTAGTTTATTCCAGGAAAGTGTTTTCTAAATTGTAAAATATTGTGCCTTATAAAATACTGTGCATTGTCCTATCATTATAATTAAGCAAATTAAGAGCCTTGAATTTAATAACTAACATAATTACCTTAACCATGCCTTTTGAGAAACTCTAGCAGATGATATGAATTAAAAAGAAAAGAAGCCATTCAGAGAGCAAGGACGATTTCACTTTAAGAAGACAAAGAATTGTATGCTTCATGAAAAGGACTGTATCTCTCTGTAGAGTGGTTCTCAGGACAGCAACCAAGTGCATCCTCCTCAAATCCACCTACTTGGCCTGCATGGGGATGATGATACTTACAAGAGCTCAGCACACATGGCACACTTATTGCCATGTGTTTTGCCATCAGGGCCAAGGACTGGATCATGTTCCCTTGTGCATTCAAGTCTTCCATCCTTCACATAAGGCCGAAAAGCACTACATACATCCTGAAGAACAGGGAAAAGAACTTAACATCCTGATTGTAATGCATTCCACACGGTTTTCAGAATTTTATAGTACTCAGTGCTTCTCTGCCCAATGCACACTAGCCACTTAGAGCAGTGCCAGATGCCTAGAAGTAGCTCAGTAAGTGTTGCCTAATTCATGAGGTTAAGTATGGTACTCATTTACTTATTCATTTATTAGTAAACACAGATACCCTAGTATGTGTTAGAACTAAGGCGGAACACAGTCCTTGCACTCAACTTGCTCATGGTCTACTGGATGACACAAAGAGACATTTAAAATATGATGTACTAACTGCCCTGATAGGTGCTCTAGGAGCATAGAAAGGGCACCAAACCTTGACTTAGGAAAAAACATTCAGCTAGAAAAAGTCAAGTGTGACATGTCTGAGATACTCATTTCTTTCTCCTATAATCATAAGTGCACAGAATGTTAGCAAAGGGAAAAGCTATTTAATCCAAATCTCATTTTTAGATATGGAAACACTGGTACAGTGTGGGTAAGTAATTTACCTAAGGTCTCCTGACAGCAAGTGACAGTGCTAGGGTTTCAATTCAGATTACGTGACTGAAGCATAATGCCCTTTCTACTATAAGTGTAGTTTCCTTTTGATGGATGGATGGATTGACTGACTGATTGATTGATTGATTTTTTTTTTCATAGAAAGCAGAAATAGAGCTGAAAAGTCTAACTACCAAAGTCACCTGCTCCAGTTACAGGAACTATCAACTGCTTTTCAGCTAAACAAGCAGGGCCCCATCTTAGGTAAAGCAAGAATTGCTTCCTTCCTAGTACCCCACCAAAGAAGGAAGAGGAGAGCATCTTCTTTCTCTCTGAAGTCAGCCTCCCAAGATTTCCCACCATTTTGACACTTGTCCTCACCTGCTCTGGATTATTGGTCTCACATTCCCCTTCACTTTTTATGCCAACTTGGGACCTGGTTTTACTGGAATTGAAAGTTAGTAGACACAGAAGTTTAGTATCACAGAACTTCCTACCGTTCAAAAGTAACTTATTGTCACTGTATTATAATTCTCCTTTGCCCTTGAAAACAAATGTCACATCGCATTCTTTTCCTCATTTACTCTTTCTAATGAGAGCCTGTGTTTATAACTTGGAGTTGAAGAAATAGAATGATGTTGGAGGGCTAATAAGAGTCAGGTCTATAAATATTATTTCTAGAATTTTCTTTCCTACGTCTAAAGAGGATCCATATCAGAAGAGAAGGAAAAAATACACCTTATAACTAAAAACAGCAAAGAACTATGCTGTTGTTGATGATGGTGTTTTAAATATACGAATTCAAGTTTAAATGATCTAACATCCTGCTCTATTATTCTTTGTTTGGGTTATGCTGACTAATATTTTAGTTGTCACGGAAAGTACCTTAAGTCCCAAGAATTAAGTTTATTCAGTCTAATAGAGCTTTAACGCTAACTGAAAACAAAACCATAAATGTAAAATACATTTCCTACTTTTTGAAAAAGTAAGGCAGCTTAAAACCACAGCCTCTGTATAACAATAAAAAAACAACAAAAGCAATATAAAGAGGAAAAGGATGTTATTAAAAGTTACAAGAAAAAAGTTATATCAAAAGATATCATCTGAGGGAAACAAAAAAAAAATTGAATCCCAATGTTATTGCAGAGTCCCCTAGTAGACAAAGCTAAGGAAGAAACCCAATGAACAGTATGGCTCTCACTGTATAATGAAGGAAGTATACCAGAAATTAGGGGTGAGACACTTAGACCTGAAGAGATTTAAAGAATCTATCACAGGATCCCCCACATAAAACATAGTAGTAATTAAATGTACAGTGTGCTCATAATAGTATTACAAAATACATATCTAATAAAACCTGTCTGTTCTCCCTATGTCTGTTTGTGTTTTCCGTTTATGTTGACCACTGGTGAGAGGTGAAGGCATCATTTCAGAGTGCATCTCTGAAAATGCAATAATGCAGGGATCAGAGTGATTTAATTCAGTTGTATTTTGGTAGAGATACTTATTACAAGGAGGGATAACGCTTGCAGAACCCTGAAGACTGAATATTTATCATACCTTTTATTAGTTTCAAGCACTGGTTGTTATTATGTGTGCAAAAAGTGGAGAGCAGACAATTCAAGACTGAGGCCACAGGCCAGAACCTGTGAAGCAGGTGTGCCATCTTGTTGACTGACAACCGACAACCAAACTTAGCACTGAGGGTGGAGAAAGAATCAAACGGGGACAAAATGTTGGACAGTGAGATGCTTTAGCTATGTGACAAAGGTCAAATCAATGGAAAGAAGTTCAATATTGAAAGTTCCAATTATCTACTCTAATATTATAAATTACTGAGCACTAAATAAAAAAATCATTTGATGATTAAATAATTCTCTGTAAAAAAAGATATACTCCTAGATAGATAGATAGAAAGGGACAGATGTCTGTCTGTATATGTATGTGTATATAAGTGTATGTACATACATGTGTGCTTATATGTGCATACAGGTAGATACTTAGATTTAGATCTATCAGATGTCTGTCTACTTCACAGAGATACTGATAACTCTCTGATAAACTGCATACAAAAGTGCTTTGTAAAATATAAAGTGTTGCACTTCATATTTTTTCCCTTAAGAATAGTAAAAGGAGTGGTCCTAATAATTTCTGGATGGCTAACTTTCACAAAATGAATTGATATTTTAAAGACTGTAGGAAAAAATTGTGTCATGTACTTGTATGGAGAGCATGCTTTAGGGAGAAAGCCTGCTGCAGATACTCACGCGTTCTCGGCACACAGCGCACATTTGTTGCTGTAGGTTTTCCCGTCTGTGCCACAAAGGGCTGCGTTATCGAAGGTACACATAAAATCCCCACTTCTCTCGTCTTTCCTGAAATCATCACAATTCAACTGCAAGAGACGTTATCAAGGAACATCAAAATATAAGAGATAAAATATTCCTTAGATACATAAATACATGAACATTTTAAACCCACAACAATGTAACTTACTGGAAAACAAAACAGACTGAGGAGACTACAGTGCACGAATAACATCATGAATAACAAAACATGGCCCCAGAACAGAGACGTACTTAGATTTTAGGAGAAAGAATTGGTATTTGATTTCAGCCACTTGCTATCTGGGTGAGGTAGGCCAAGTCTCCCCTCTGAAACTTAGCATACTGTTTGTCAAATCCTGCCGGCCTTCTTAGCAGAGTGATAATGAGGTCTAGTGGATAAGCATAGGAAAGCTCTCTGTAAACTCTAAGCTACAATGAAGTTTTTATTATTATAGATTAGGGTAGTGATCAGGAGCCAGATTGCTGGGCTTATAATTCTAACTCTGCCACATACTGGCTGTGTGATGTGGGAGTTACTTAACCCCTCTGTGCTTTAGTGTCCTTATTTGCAAAATGTGTACAATATTACTAACCTCTCAGCATTTTTTTTTAAAGATTTTTTAATGTATTCATTTGAGACACAGAGATAGAGAGAGCATGAGCAGGGGGAGAGGCAGAGGGAGAGGGAGAAGCAGGCTCCCCGCTGAGCCAGGAGCCTGATGAGGGGCTCGATCCCAGGACCCCGGGATCATGACCTGAGCCGAAGGCAGACGCTCAACCATCTGAGCCACCCAGGCGCCCCACCTCTCAGCATTTTAAAGAAGTTTCAGGGTATGAATACATGCACAGCATTTACAATGGCGCGTAGCATATCATAACCCTTCACTGTTGTTATTGTTGTTGTTATTTTAAACATTTTCCTCACTGACAAGCAAGCCAATCATGAAACATGTTTTGGGGATGATGGAAGAAATCTCCAAATCTCAGCTCAAATAATATGACGCATACTTAGGGACATACCTGTATGGTGAGGAAAACAACTACACTAGGTGGTTAACTGGAGACTAGGGTTTGATTCTCACATCCGCCACCCACTCACTCCACCTCTTTGAACCTTACTTTCCTTGTCTGACAAATGGAAATTCACACCCCATCTGTCCTACAGATTTGTGCTGAGCATCAAATGAATACTTAGGAAACTTTATTTGGCAACACTATTGTGACATGAGCTAATTAAAGAAGACCTAGACTTAACTTGAATTTTGTTTCTATCCAAAAGCAAAGAATGACACTGGAGAATTTTTTAGTTATTATATTGCATGACAAAATAAATTTTTGATGTTATTGTCATAATAAAAATATTTTAAATATAGATATGGAACACTTAGAATATAGACCTGTGACCTAGTATGTTACACAATAGAAAGAATAAAAGAACAATTACAAATACATAGTGAATTTGTGAACCAAAAGGTTACATCAAGGAATACTTCTGAAAAACAATAAAAAAGGAAAAAGAATTTAAAGTAGAAAAAAAAAAAGCTATGGAACATAACCCACTGTTCATGTCATCTGTTGGGGAAGAAGTTAAAATAGAGGGAAGATAAGTAATGGCTATATGTGTTATTTCATTTATTCGGTTGTTCATTTGTTCCTCAAAATCCACTATACATCTGCTAGCCTCTGGGCTTCTACTAGACGAAGACACTGCCAAAAAAAAAAACAAAAAAAAAACCACCTTGGAATATATGCTCTAAGGAACTTATATTCTGATGAGAAGGTAAAGACCATAAATATGATAATTTGAAATAAAAATAAATGCTATTAAAAATAATCTGAACAATAACTAGAATGATGGCTATTTTAAATATAGTGTCAAGAAAGATCTCTCTGTAAAGGTAACATTCGAGGTAAAATGGGATTAATGAGCAGAAGCCAGCCACTGGAGATCTGAGGGAAGGACATTCCAGGCGTAGAGAACTGCAAGTGCAAAGGATCTGTGATAGGAACTAGACTGTCCTGCTTCAGGGGCACAAAGGAGTGTGGCTGCTGCATGAGGAAAAAGCAGAGAGCAGCGGGTTTTCTCTCTAGGGTCATTTCTTTTTTTTTTTTTTAATTTTATTATGTTATGTTAGTCACCATACAATACATCATTAGTTTTTGATGTGGTGATCCACGATCCATTGTTTTCGAAACTTAGCATACTGTTTGTCAAATCCTGCTGGCCTTCTTAGCAGAGTGCTCCATGCAGTATGTGCCCTCCTTAATACCCATCACCAGGTTAACCAATGCCCCCTCCCCCCTCCCCTCTAAAACCCTGTTTGTCTCTCAGAGTCCATAGTCTCTCATGGTTCATCTCTCCCTCCAATTCCCACCCCCTCATTTTTCCCTTCCTTCTCCTAGTGTCCTCCATGCTATTCCTTATGTTCCACAAATAAGTGAAACCATATGATAATTGACTTTCTCTGCTTGACTTGTTTCACTTAGCATAATCTCCTCCAGTCCCATCCATGTTGATGTAAAAGTTGGGTATTCATCCTTTCTGATGGCTGAATAATATTCCCTTCAACAGATGAATGGATAAAGAAGATGTGGTCCATATATACAATGGAATATTACTCTAGGGTCATTTCTGGAGAAACTAATGAAGCATGGGTGATATGGATTGATTTTATTGACTTGGGACAATCACTGCTATTCCCCTTCAGCAAAAGCAAGTGTCATACTAGGTCACAGGTGTTGGCAGGGTGATGACGGGGCAGATAAAAAGTGCAGCTGTGAGGCCCTGAGAACAGGTGTGGGTATTTACTCCTCCTCCCCCGCCTCCCCCTCCAAACTCCAAGGACTGGTAGGTCACAACCTACAGAGAACACCTCTTCCTAATGCTAACAGTTTCTGAGAGCTTACAGATGGATTCCTAACCTGATTGGAGTAGCAACAAACTGGTTCCAGAACCTTCTGATCTAGGCTTCATCCCTTTTCCTATCCTTATACTCCCCAGGAGAGGCAGAGACTGAATGTAGCCTTGAACACCATCTCACTCACTGTAGCAGAAAAAAATAACTAAAGCTATTATGGAATGTAGAGTAGAAATACCTGTATATGTAAGGAACAAAACATAAAAGAAATACGGTAATGTGAGCAATAGTATCAGTTGAAGCAGAATTATCAGAATGCATAGAAAAATGATTTTTCAAGACTGTAACTATGCTTTAGAGAGATAAGAGAAAATATCTGCAATATGAAACCAGAAAAAAAGAAGCTATAATGGGAAAAAAGTGGAAGTTTTAGACATAGAAAATATTTAAATGGTAATAAATAAAACAATAGAAATAATAAAAGTAGGATAGGTACATGTACCTAAGGAATTTGTAAACCAGAAGATTAGATCAAGAAACTCTCAGAGAAGCAATGGTAAAGGAAAATGAATTCAAAATAGAAGAGAAAACCTAAAGAACATGGTGAATAGAATTAGAAGTCCCCAAAAGGAGGCAACCATATATAGGAAAAATATTTGAAGAAATAGGGAACATTTCTAGAATCAATGAAAAATGAAAAAACAAAGAAATAGAGAAATAGCCATAGCAACTCAAAGATAGAATCTGGTCAATAACAAATTAGAGAGGTTTAGGGATTTTTAACCAAATAAAAGCAAGCTAACATATGTTAGGGGAGAAGATACAGATATTAACAATAAACAAAGACATTAGTAATAGTGATGATAAATAATTATAAGTAAGGATATTTGGCTGGGAGAGTCATATTAAGAGCAAAAATAGATATGCAGCATTTAACTCATCATCAAAGAAAAGCTGGAAGGAAGAAACTACTTTTAAAATAATTTTTTAAAAATATGAAAAATTAGGAGAATCAAGTTCTAGTACAACAGAAATAACAACTGTAAATGAGCTAAACACACAAATTAAAACACAATTTGTGGTTGGATTTAAAAAAAACAGGATCAAACCAGGTATGGATGATAAGAGAAAATTAAAATTAAAGAGCACACAGATATTAAAACAATAGGATAAGAAAAGATATGAGGTAAAAATGAATGAGAAGAAAACAGATGCAGTAACATGAATACTAAAAATATAGAATTCAGCCCAAAATGCAGCATAAGTGACAAAGGACACTATATAAAGTAAAAGGAAAAACAGAACATGAAGGTATAATAACCACTGAGCATTCATTCCCTTAATAATACAGGCTCTACCTCCGTCAGACTGCAACCAAAAAAATGTGATAGAATTAGATAAATCAGTAACTGGACTTAGGGATTTTAGCATATACTTCTGAGAAATTGATAGATCAAGAAAAAAATTAAGATGCTTAAGCCAGGGCGCCTGGGTGGCTCAGTCGGTTAAGCGACTGCCTTCGGCTCAGGTCATGATCCTGGAGTCCCAGGATCGAGTCCCACATCGGGCTCCCTGCTCAGCGGGGGGTCTGCTTCTCCTGCTCCCCGCTCTTGTGCTCTTTCTCTCTCTCACTCTCTCTCTCAAATAAATAAATAAAATCTTTAAAAAAAAAAAGATGCTTAAGCCATTAGATTTTTATAGAAAACTACATCCAAGGAACAGCAAATGAACATTTTTTCCAAGACATAGGAAAGAAACACTTATAAAAGTGGAATATTTATTAGACCACTAAGAAAGTCTTAGGAAAATTTCAAAGGACTGATATCATATGGTCTATGTTCTCTGCCCAAAATTCAGTAAAATCAAAGTTAATTTAAAATAGATGAAGTGCAATATATTTGAAAATCAAATAATGTATTACTTGGAAGGGAGGAAAATTAAGGAATGTTTGCAAAGAATGACAAATGGAAACACTTCCAGCACAAATCTTGAGATAGATGATCATTAATATCTTCACCTACTCTTGTCATGGAATCTTAGAAGTTAAAATTTTAAAGACTAGGTATTGCTCAATCCATTACAAAATGTGCAGCAGAGCAAACATAAAGAAATAGGTATAAGTGACACAGAAAACAAAAATAATTGAGAAGATTAACAAAAAAGCTGATATTCAGATTTTTATGACAATTGATAAGAGAAAGAGAAGATGG